CAAAATTAAATCACCCCCTTTAGTTTTTGGCATTTTTCTCCAATACGGCCTGTGCCCAGTTCGGTCTCATCTTGCCAGAACACCTCACATTTGTTGTAAACATCACCAGAAGTGTACTCATAACAAATCTAAATCTTCTGAACCCTGAACTTCAAGCCACATACCTTAGACCTCAATACCTGTCTTATTGAAGCAGGTGATGATGGCGACTCTGGTGAGGTTTTCAGGGTGAAATCTGCAATAAGTGAAAACAAGTAACTGCAATGTATTATCTATGTGTTTGGAAAAGAGTCACTGACAGCCTGTTTGTTGAATGTTTGGAGGGGTGTGCATAATGGGTTTACACGAGTGCCCAACCGCATAGCACCGCAGTTCAGGATTATGTGGGATTGCTATGTATTCCTGTATAACTTAACAAAATAGTTAATAATTTCTCAAGTAGTAACAAATATTGGTTTTGAATGGACTTTGTGGGGAACTGCATTAAAAATACAAATCAGAATATTTGGATACATGGAAAACCAAAACAGATTTCAAGTTAATGTAAATGCATTTTCATGTGCGAAACAAGCATGAAGTCTCAGTTGCACTTTACAAAGTAAACCTATATCAGGCATGCAACTGGGAATTTAGGAAAAAACAAGGAAATTCCAAACCACACAAGACTTTGTACAGTGTTTTTTAATTTGTAATGGCATTCATGAGAAGTAAAAAACGAGGAAATCAGCGGATCTGAGGAAAAGTTGCATGCCTGCTATATGCTCGCCAAAGAACTTTAGAGATTTGAACTTTAGAGATGAGTATATGTACGTACATGTACCACATGAAGAACAAAACAACTGTTACTTACCAACAATGGCATCAACGACTTTCTTATCAACTTTGACCTAGCTACCCTTCTCGGCCAGCTCACCATTCGTAAAAAAAGCATTGAAAAGTGAGCAGGCCATTTTGGAAGGGCTCTTCTTCTTCTTGGCAGCAGTAACGTTCATGCTGTAGACATAAACCTGGCTGCCAGGGGAGAGTTCGACAATCTATGAGGAAATGTACATTATGAGCTTATTATCTGTTGAATTTTTTTGTTCCAATTTTATGCACGTCACTCTTCACCCAACTTCGAACAAACGTTAGCAAACTTGTCTTAAAATCAATAATATAAAATCTTTAATTGGTTGTAATATATGAAGAAAATTGCTTACTTGGTGTACTGCCGCAACATCAGGTCTAATTCTTCCTGGGCGAGGCGCTGCGTACCCCATGCCCTCAGTAGGATTCACTTTACAATGTATCTAATGAAAATATGCAACATTCAGATTTGAGTAGGGGATTGTGAATTAGTTATACATGTGCATGTATATTGTTTGCATTACAAAGGTATAGTCCATTATGAGAACATGCACCCTCTTACAACATCAGTAAATAAAAACTGTATCCCCTACCTTTCTCAGCCAGTGCTCTTTTCAATTGCTTGATTTCCCCCTCCAAGGCTATATTTTCCGCCATGAGTTCAAGGTTTTCAGCCTTCAGTTCTAAATATAGTTGAAAAAATGAAAGAAGAATGCCGGTCACTTTAGTTATCTCAGAATCCAAATATTTTTAACAAACAGAAGTTACATGCAGCACTATTAGAAGTATATGCGTATTGAAACAATAGCTTAACAAGTTCGCGCTGGAGGACTTGCATATACATTTGTACCTGCAAAAGTTTTCCAAAATTCAGATCGGACAACTGATACACTTGCACGTAGCGAAGCCGAAAAATGTCAGCGACCCCGCACTCGCAGCGAGCTAGGCCGGCAATATCAGGGTGTGCTACCAGAAGATGACAGCCTGAACCCATCTGGCATCATGGTTCATAAAAAATAACCTGGTCACTGTCAAAATACACCCATTTGGAAATGGGTGAATTAGTATTCCTTTCCAGGACGTTGACATGGCGAAGTGGACGATTCTGGTTTGTCATACATGTATATTTCCATAGATCATGTTTGAATACATGTACTAACCTTCACATTCCAGGCATTTTTCTTGAATCATTGTTTTGTCTCCCCTGGTAGGGTTCTGTACTGTGCTTGTGTTTGTAAGATCTGTTAGATAATTTGCAAAAAAAAACATTTTTGTTATTGTAAAGAATTTTTTTTACTGTGGACTGCATGTACAAAGGGATGAGAATTCTTGTAAATTTATTTTTTTTAATGGGAGGCTTGTGGCAACTTCCATGATGAACTTGGAGTGTGTCATCTTAGATGTGTGGCTGTCACAGTCCCCTGTCCTGTCCTGCTCGGTGCTCGTGGAGTCGGAGATGTACTTCTGGCTTCTGGGATGATGGTGCTTGTAACACAGCCAGGCATTGTAGTGGACGGCTTGCTTTGGAGCTGTGATGATTGTGCTCTTGCGCCTACCACTGCACTGCCATCTTTTACCTTGCGTGTGATTTGGTCTCTGCATTTGTTTCTGAATACATCCAGCAGGAAGTACAGGATCCCACGCCAACAGTGCTGGGACTTGCGGGCGCATGTGTGATATGACCGTAGTTGGTCGCCTCTGTCGACACCACCCATGCAGCTGGTGTAGGAGACTGCTTGAGGAGGAGCTGGAACCGTTGTTGACCTCAGCCGCCCTGTCTTCTCGTCTACACATTTTCTCTTGAGGGTGTGGATGACGGGATCCCTCCAGCCTTGGTGTGCAGTGGAGAGCAGCATCATTATGCGACTGTCTTTCCAGAGAGTGGCAGTCAGCTGTCCATTTTGCCCCGTGTAGAATGTGCCTCTCCTTGCTCGTCTCATCTGTTTCATTTTCAGATGCACAGGGTTGGACTTCTTGGATGTGAAATCTCAAGGCAGACCCTTCCTATTGCTCTTTACTGCCCCTGTAAGATAGGTCTGGCTGGCGTGCAATGGCCGTGCTAGGCCCACTGATGTGTACAGTTTATCCGTGAAGATGTGATGGTACACATTCAGGTGGTGCTTCGCACCTCACGCTCCTCACTAGTCAGGCTGTGCTGCAGGTTTCTTACTTCACGAGAGTTCATGATCAATACTTGAAGATGAGCCACAGGAAACATCAGCTTTTATAGAAAATCTGGTGCTTGGGGCCATTGATGGTAGGCACGGGAGGTAGCAAGGGTTGGTAGGCGAGGGTGCCTTCGGCAAAGCCTGCAATAAGTGATGTCCCGATTGCTACTGTGAATAGCCGATGCTTGTGGGTGTCTGGCTGGTTGTCTTCCTGCCTGAACTGCTTACTGCAAATCCATGCATTCACCCGTGCCACATCAATGATGAAGTACAATACCTTTTTCCACCACTTCATCGACTGGCGACTGCAGGTGTGATAGGCTCGTAGTTGTACGCGCCTATAAGAGCCTATAAGATGTACGTCTCATTCTCAAGTAGCTCTTTGGTCAGGGATGATGACGTACACAGCTTGTCGGAAAACAGGTGGTGGTGGCGGCTGAAGAATGGCTCCATCATCTTCATGGAGATGCTCTGCATTTTCTGGTTGCCAATAATAATAATAATAAAAATAAAAATAAATCCTCCTCAGTGGCCAGAAGGAGGGTCCACTTTCCACGCTGTCCACCAACTCTCCTTCATAGGTGGTGGGGTGGCATAACTCTCATCTTCCTCCTCTGATGGCCCACTCTCAGTGCTCTCCGTCACTCGTTCCTCATCTGAGTGTGAGGGAAGATACTTCTTCTTTTGCTTCTTCTTGTCTGCACATGACTTGGCTCACTTTGGTGGTGGTGGCAGGGTAGTATCATCCTCTTGCAAACTCTCCATATCACCGTCTGATGCAAGGCAGGGTGATGAACTTTCAATGGCATGGTCAAGGAATTCTTCCACACTCTCAGCTGATGTTTCTGCAAGAGCCCTGTAGGTTCTCCCCATTCGGACGCCCGCCTCTTTGGCACTGGCTCTAAGAGCTGCTTTACATTGTAGGCTCCTCTTTTTGCTGCTGCCATTGAAGGGTTTTGAAACTGGCATCAAATCTCTTCTGTTTAGGCGCTTTCGCCTTTCCTTTCCCCTTGTTTTTCCCTTCACTACTTTCTCTCTCTCTCTGTGGACCACTTTTCTTCGGGGCAGCAGCTGAACTCTCTCCATGATCTTGATGGGTTTTTCTTCGATCGGCCCATTACTTTCCCAACAAAAATCTCTCGCTCATCAGTTGTCGAATTCTGCTGCAAGTTTTGCACTTCTCCTGTATTCATGTTGATTGGATGTTCTCAACTTGAGACTTGGGGTGAAACTCATGTTTCACTTGTATTTATAGGAAATACTATTATTGTCATGGACAAAATTATACAATAAATAATATTATATATTACCTCATACTTACCTTTACAGAGATCATCCATGTTATATCATATTGAATAATTGATGTTAATTTTCATTATGCTCATTGTCACATAAAGTAAAGCACCCCACCTGTGACTGAATGGAAGAGTCACATACTCTCACTAGTGTTATTCCTTGTATGCAACTTGTGGTGCCCTTGACATGCCCTGTTTGGCAATACAACATTGGATGGCATGTTTCTAGGGTCTGCCTCTGGGTCTGAGCAAGCAAGATGACTCTTCAAATCTTGATCTTGTCATCATCTTGTCAGATCATTCCGAAATCCAGGTCTGGTTGACCAGTAGTCTTTGGCGTTCGCAATTCTTGTGAGGCCCATGATCATATGGATCCCGAACCAGGCGCGGATCTTGGCGGTGGAAGTGCGTTGCTCTATATTTGCCAGTTAGAGGTTGATGTTTGTCATGTCCGCAATAAAAGAAAACAGGGCAAGTGAAAAGAACTTGAAGAAATAATCCACTGCCCGCATCCTAGCTCGCTTGGGAAAAGTCGGCCCAGGTGGTGTCGGGCCTGCAAAAGGATGGGTGAATACCCGCCTCAGTTGGCTGGGCCACTGATGGATGTCTTCGTCCAGCACTGCATCTGCCCCTGCCTCCCTGGGATCGTTAACCGCAGCTGGAGTGGCATATGTCTCCTTTCTTCTGCGCCGTTTTGCTGGATGGGCCTGCGGTTCTTCTACCTGGTCATCATGATCGTCATCCTCTTCATCTTCCTCCTCTGCCTGTGACTCCTCTTCCTCTCCCTCAGACCAGAACCATTCAATGAATACATGTAGGTCGCTTGCCTCATCTTCGTCAAGGGATGGACCTGGAACATACTCCTCATCCTCTGATGAACTTGTCTCAGCCACGGCCCGATACTTGGGTCTCGCATCCTGCATTTCTCTCTGGATGGCTGTGTAGTGAGTTCTTTCAGCATGTGACATGGGCTTGGAGGGACCTGCTTGGTCTGGTGCCACAGCCTCGTCGTCGATGTGTCTGCTTTTCTTCTTTGACTTTCCTCACTCTCCTTCACTGGCTCTTTGGGGACACAGGAAGGGCCTGGTGGATGGGACATCTTGTCTTCACTTCTCTTCTTGTACTTCATTGACTTTTTCTTCTGAGCAGGCTCCGCCCTCAACTGTTCCTCAGACTCCTCACTTGTCTTGTCTCGCTTTTTCTCCTTCCATGATTTCTTCCGAGTAGGCTCCTGGCTTGTTTCTTCACTGGCCTCCTGGCTTGACTTCGTTCTTTTCTTGTCTTTCTTCGACTTCCTCTTGGTCTTCTCACCACCTTCCATTTCTCTTTTCTCCCGAGTCATAGCACTACGCAGGTTGCCTTGCGTAGAACCTCCACCAGCCAGCACTGCACTCGTGAAAGTTGCCCCCTCAGACTGGGACAGACTTGTCTATAGCTCTTTCACTTCACGGCATATTGTTACACCCGTGTAATTGCCAGAGATGGCACTTACGAGAGTTACATTAAAATGATGAAGTTGGTGACCCTGTAAGAAATAATGGAGAGTTGTCAGCCAAAGATACAGAAATGCATGAGGACAACTTTATTGCAGATGTTGGCAGGGTCATTGCTTGTAAGAACAATCCAACACTACATTTAAAATACAAGTATAAAACCTAAGTAAAACACAAATTCTAGTTAAGAAACACGAAATGCAAAAGACTAATTCGTTCTACCAATATCGATTAATTGTGACACACTTGTATTATCGATATCTAATATATCTCAATGGAACACCATATCGATACTGACTCTAGTGATAATCGATATCTTTACTACTGACATACACGTCCATACATACATGTATGTCTACGTTACTGCAACATCGCACAGCCCTACTGCTCTCTGCACAGGATGCAGAGATAAACAATTGAGGATTAACTCTGGTTGAGCAAACAAGACTCACACAGGGCCCCAGCATGGTCTTGGCTGGTCCATGTGCGTGTCTCAAGATTACTTTGTTCTAAACTAAAGGCATGACAGGATCCCTCCAGCCTTGATGTGCAGTAGAGAGCAGCATCATTATGCGACTGTCTTTCCCGACGGTGGCAGTCAGCTGTCCATTTTGCCTTGTGTAGAATGTGCCTCTCCTTGCTCGCCTCATCTGTTTCATTTTCAGATGCGCAGGGTTGGACTTCTTGGATGTGAAATCTCAAGGCAGACCCTTCCTATTGCTCTTTACTGCCCCTGTAAGATAGGTCTGGCTGGCGTGCAATGACCGTGCTAGGCCCACTGATGTGTACAGTTTATCCGTGAAGATGTGATGGTACACATTCAGGTCCATGTGCATGTCTCAAGATTACTTTGTTCTAAACTAAAGGCAGTACATGAGGCAAAATCAAAGATAACTTAACTTCTAACTAAAATATGCTAAACTTCTACGTGTACAAATGCTTCAGAGAATCCATCTCAACTGAAACCATCTTCACTCCTACTTCTTGCATAAAAAACCTTGCAATTAATTCTGGGTCTAACAGTGAAACTTTCCTCAATCAACTGTCTTCAACTAAACACTAATTCATCAATCAGAAACATGATCTCACAGTTGTCTAAAACATGTTTCAACACTTATATAAGTTTCACAGAATAAATGAATGCAATGAAGGAACTTTGAACCTTAACTTAATAATGAACTTCTTCACAAACTTTGAGGAATCGAATGTTTCAGAACTTACTACTTATTTCCTCAAGTCTCAACAGTCTAAAGTATTAAAACAACTAAACACAATACAAAGGCTTAAATCAAAGGAAATCTATGAATGTGAAATATCAGAAATGAAAGTTAAAATCAACATACCTGTAAGAAATAATGGAGAGTTGTCAGCCAAAGATACAGAAATGCATGAGGACAACTTAATTGCAGATGTTGGCAGGGTCATTGCTTGTAAGAACAATGAAGCCAACTTCCTGTCCCTTGCTGATGTGGCAACTCTTGGATCAGTCCATTATTCTCAGAGGTAAAGCAAAGTCTGGACTATTACATTATAAAAGAGGAGGGGGCAAAATGGAAAAAGGGGGTGACCAATTTCCATGGCCTCTACACTATGTATTGGATAATAAACCTCAGTAATCCTTACCTTCAAATAAGGAAACTCATCTCCAGTAGGCCTATGACGTGAACACTCACAATCCATGACATAGGTACTATGTTCTATGCACTATGCTTTCTTAAAACACGTCCAACTAGCCAAAAACAATTATGAAACAACCACGTTTTTTTTAACAGCAGCATATATTTGCATATTATCGTTGATGAGTTTCCATGTCATGGCAAAGTCATCAAAATTGCTGCTGAACTTCATCTGTTGGACCGTGATAAACAAATACTTCAAATTTACCATTGTGGGTAAATAATTTGCAACCGGGGAAAACATTTCTAAGTACAGTATGACAAGGGTACTAAAGTGAACCAAGGAACACTGAGTGTTGCAACATTTCATTTTGCTTTATTTAGTAGGCCCATGCCGTCCTTCTAGTGATAAATTGACAGTCCGTTGATAATGTCATAAAAGCACACAGATATGTCTCCATTGTTTTAAATTCCAGTTTCGCAGTAATTTTATTTTTTTCCAGGAAGATAAGTATCTCGCGACTATTAACAGTTGAGATTGAAAGAGCTGCGAAAAAAAAGGGAAACATAAATGGAGTACATATATTTGAACTGAAGATTCAAAAGTTTAGTGCGACCCCTTCCACACAAAATAAAAACGTCCACTATTGTTTAAACTGTTGTCAATAGCATTTTTTCTGGTAATGACTCCAATCAGTGTGGTGTGTATCCAATATTCACCATCCCATTTGTAACATTATTTAAATTATTTTGCTTAAAATAAAATGCACGATAATATTTACCAAATAATGTTAAGTTTGAGAGTTACAATAAATAATTCAGAACTTCTGAAAATCAAATCAAGTGCTTCCTACATTTTCTGCTTGGATTAACTCTTAAATGCCTACTTAAATAGAGAGAGTATTTTTTCGATATAAATATCAACAACCTTCTACCTCAGTGAAGTTTATGGCCAAAAATAAACAATGAACTTATATGTATTTTCTATTATTTGTAATAGGGTCCCGTACTTGATACCTAATTTGCGTATATGAAAATTAGGCCAATGATTACATAACTTAACAATGTGGTGGTGCTTATTTAGCGCTTTATACCGAAGGTCTCAAAGCGTTTTAATTTTATACATTGTATTTTAATTCGGGCGATTCACAATGCAGTGCGCCACCAAGAGTTTGCCATGGAGAGTCCATTTTTCTAGTTTACGGTCGACAAAACATGGCCCAGTTGAATGAGTGTCAGTAGACAACTTGAACTAATTTGTTATAGATTGGGGTATAGCGTTCTGCCGCCTTACAAAAAAAAAACACTGATAAAAAGAAAACAAAAGAGCAAACAGATACTCGAAGCATACCTTTACGAAAGTACGGACTGGAAAAACGAACAATTTCAAATGTCCCGCGTTGTGAATTTGTCGACCATCTCCCACAATGCACTGGGAAAAATGAACTCTTCGTGACAAACTCTTGGTGGCGCAATGCATTGTGAATCGCCCGAATGGCTTCATTGGAATTCATACAGTTTGATTACTAAACTGTAAAATGGCGCCAAGCACCTTGTTCTACTATCAGTTTTTGTGTCGATTGAGTATCGATCATCGTGGACTTAACCACGATTGTTTTCGGTTATGTGGCCAAAGGAGGTTCAATTACATTCATCTATCTGATTATTTTACGAGCCTGTAAATACTTGCAGTACAAAATATCCCACTCAGTTCAGACAGCCACTGGAGTACTAGTCGAAACTGCTTGGATGGTAGAATTGAAAAAAAAATGTATAGAAAATTGCATGTGTATGGTTTCGAGGTCGCGGAAACTAAAGCTGCATACTATGATACACCAATCTTAGTTAATTACGGCGGTGGTTCTGGGACGTCATGCCTGGATGCCCATTAAACTTGCGTTTTGTATTTGTATCTCTGAACGCGTCACTAAAGAAGAGTGCAATGTGTGAAATACCTGGGCTTTGGAGCGTCTTTGTAATTCGGGCGATTCACAGTGCAGTGCGCCACCAAGAGTTTGCCATGGAGAGTCAACTTCGGAAGTTTACGGTCGACAAAACATGGCCCATTTGAATGAGTAACGATCAGTAGACAACTTGAGCTAATTTGTTAAAGATTGTGGCATAGCGTTCTGCCGCCTTACAAAAATGCACCATATTGATCAAAAGAAAACAAACGGGCAAACATTATACTCGAATCATACGCTTTCAAAACTACTGACCGGAAAAACGAACATCTTCAAATGTCCGGCGCTGCGAATTTGTCGACCATCTCCCATAATGCACTGGGAAAAATGAACTCTCCATGGCAAACTCTGGTGGCGCACTGCATTGTGAATCGCCCGAATTGTGGAAAGCTGCCCTAGTAATCACAAAAATGTGGGCAACTTGGATTGATCTATACAGTGTTTTGGCCCTTCAAGCTCACGATGTTTTTACAATAATTTTGTCACTTTTTGTTTGTTAATGCATTTGCTTAACTCAGTAAATTCCGTTATCATTTATATATGTTAATATGTATTACATATTTTTTTTTTTGAAATGAGTTTCCGATTGGAACTCCATTACTACTTACTTGAAATGTCTGACAAAGTGATTTCAATAAATTAAACAGATTGAAAGTGAATATCGCAGTTCCCGCAATGAAATATATGTATTGGTTCTTGTTTGAGTGTACAACATTTAATAATAAGGAACTGTACCACAAAGTCCTTCAAGAGTTGGTTACATATACACATGTAGTGAACAAAAACAAGATGAATGGCATACTTCTCTAGCCACTGGCCAATATGTTTTGCTAGATAATAAGTGATTCTCTGCATGACTACATGTACCAAAATACCCCCAACCCACACCCCAAGCACAGAAAGGTGACAGGACAATTAAAACGCACTTATACTACAGCAAGCAGCCCCTGATATTTCAACAACTCACCCACCACCCCCATGTCCCATATTGTGCCTCTAATTTCTCCGTCAAGGATAGCCTTAAGTCAAGTCCCACGCGCCTATACCCGGACCATCCGGATACGTAACGCACCCCGGATGCTGGCACGTAAAAGACTAGCACGAGCGGCGAAGCCGCGAGGGCTTTCACTATCTCGTGGAACTAATCACTTATTCATTTATTCACGTAATATAAATCAAGCAATATAAACCAATCGTCTAACGGTGGTATGCGGTTACCAGCAACAGCACGCGCGCCATGGCGCGCGTGCTGTAGGGCGTCAGACGACGGCTGATTTACGTTAGTAATTCTGCATTTTCATTAGTCAATTCACAACGGGTAATGCATTATGCATGTCTACCAAATCGGTAGACAAATGTAAAGAAAAACATAAGCGTTCTCCGCGAGATGGTAAAGGCCCTCGCGGCTTCGCCGCTCGTGCTAGTCTTTTTACGTGTCAGCATCCGGGGTGCGTCACGTGTCCGGGTAAGCGCGTGGGACTTGACTAAAGGCTACGTCAAGGACAACCATACACCATGCTACTGTCATGTCCCCAGTTCCCGTTCACATCATAATGGCTTCAAAATCATGCACGAATACAAAGTTATTCAAATGCCCTACCACTTTTACTCAAGGTTTCTCTACATTTCAAATTGTACACAGTTTCTTTGTAGTCGTGCCTTTCATACATCACCCCTTCTCCCGCGAAGCTGCCTCGTTTAATAATCAAGCTAATTATCCTAATCATCACTCAACGTTGCCGTCGTTGCTTTTGATAATTTTGAATCTCTTAAATCGGAGCCATATAGACCCAGTCACCCCCAAAATTAAACATAAGTCATAGATGTCCCGATTTTCTTTGAAGTGCAAAGAACATTCCGTTGGTTAACTGCAAAGTTTGAGATTTTAATCGATTCGGGGAGGTTTCCTTGCATCTGAATTCCGGGAGGGTTAAGTTTAGGCCATTCCATCAACATATCTTCTTGGCTGTTTCTGCTCATTTTGCTGGAAAGGTTTATGTAGTAACCTAGATATCTTTAGGTCTTGCGACATGGAGCGGCGCAGGTTCTTGTAGATCACTATACATCACTCTTATATAGAAAGTTTATCCTCAATTATGCGTCAGACGTTCATACTTCCGTCGTTTCCCCCATGGGAGCAGCTGCAGTATAAGTGTGCGCATGCCTACAAACTACGCCCTTTGACAGGTCATTGAGAGTTTACAACTGTAGTATGAGTTGAACATCGCTGCATGTATCCTTGTTGTTGACGCTTCAGCTGCTCAAAAGACGTTCCCCATTCCTCTTGGCATTAATTTGAGGAGATCTTGTGTAAGTTACATTCTAGCTGTAGTTGTATCTCTATGATACTCACTTGTTTTAGGCAGCATCATGCCTACCAGGTCGAAAATTGTGCAGTTGTATTTTGTTTAAAGGGAATGTACATGTACATCATTGACATTTGCTGTAATTTTCAGAAATGAACTATTTGAGGAAATAGTGTATTAGATCAAATATTGATACACTGACAAGTTTGAAGGTTTGTGTGCGAAAATGCTAGAAAAACCAGGAAAAACAAACAAATGTTCAAGCAGTCTGGTTCCCTGACTCCACTAAAATGAAATGAATCAATTTATAGATGCCGGAAAATTGTAAGGTAAGGAAACCAATCTAGCTGGCCTGCACCCGTTCATGAGCATGTAACCAATAGCAAACAAAATTTGGACTGAAAAAAATGGTAAACTTGGAGCAGTAGCTGAAAAATAGTTAGGTTTTTCCAACGGTGGTCGGCCGACCACCGTTGGGAATTTATACAAAATACCACTTTTCTTGAAAACGACTTCACATCAGGTGCCATAATTTTACAGGATGCTTTAGACTTCCATTTAAAAACATCCTAGTAAGGTCTTTCGTAAAAATTTGGTAGTTTTGTTTTCCGATGTTTGCAAATGATGTATATTCCCTTTAAACTGGATCTTGCTTTAAGCCTAACATTATGACTGGTAATGGTGGGATGTCGCTGGATCGTGAAGTTCAACAATGGACGCTGAATATGACTATAGTGCTTCAATTCCCCCAATTCACCTCTCATACAAAATTAACATCGAGGATTAACTAGTAACAATCCCAGACCACCGTGATCACATTGTGAGGTGGATGAGAACTCAAGGAGCAAATCCTATGTTTTAAGGAAACGGTATTTGAAAGAAATTGTTGAAATTTGCATCCTTCTAAAAATAACCCTGTCCGTTCTACACGGATATCATTCCCATTTCTCCTTTTAAATCATACATTTTTGCTGATCAGAAGGGTATTAACTTGTAAGAGGATGTATTTAACTTTCAACCGAAATTAAACCTTCTGTATTTTGGAACTATCTACCAATACAGCTCGAGTCTCTGAAAAAAAAACCCACCATATTTTGCTTGTTGGATTTTTTTCTCTCATCGTTGCGTTCATTTTCTTCCTTGGTCATTAATTGCCCTATCAACCTGTTACAGACGAACCAATTGCAGTGTCTATCGTTAAGTGACGCGACGGAACACACCCGCCATGATGTGTCTAAACCTGACAGTCATTGCCGTTCTCTTGTGTAAGTAATAGGTAGAATTGAACTTGCTGACAGGCTTAGTAGGGCGACTATGACATCCGCTTGAGTTCGTTCCAGTCCCTGCTCAGAATTTCAAGGTGAAAAGGTTTGTCATGCTTGAAGCTATGACCAAGCCTACTTAATAGTGCCCCCAACCCAATCCCGCAATTCGCATGGAGTTGACGCTCAGTAAAAACTGTCTGCTGATTCTACGGATTTGCCTTAGACTCAGGTTTATGTGTGTATCATAGTCCATAACTTACAATTTTGCTTTTGAGAAATTTACGTTTGGATTCATCTTCACATGTCTTGTTAAATTCCCTATTAAAACAATAATCGTTTGTTGTGCTTTATCCTTTAGTTCTTGGCACGCGTGGAGCAAATGCACAGTGTTACAACTGCTCACACAGCGAAGTTGGCCAAGGAATGATGGAAACTGGTCAGAAAGGTTGTGCAGATCCATTCATTGCCAGCGGTATAGACAGAATTACTTGCAACGGCAAATGCACGGTATGTTGCATACGAAAGGTGCAGAGGATTTTTTTACAACCCTTTTCGCGTGAGAACAAAAATCAAAGGCGTCCGTGAAAGCATGACGCTCAGTCGCTCATGCGCGCCAAAGTCGGACCATTTTGGAAAGACCTGCGAACGGCGAAAAAAGACCGTAAACAGCCAAGGGCGGATCCAGAAAAAAAAATTGGGGGGGGGGGCCAAAAATTTTTTTGGTCCCCCAAAAAAGAGGGTCAACAAAATTACGGCGTGGGGTTCGGGGCCCGCTTAAGGGCCCCGAAAATTTTTGATTCTAGATGCTCTGTGGTGCGATCTGAGGCAATTTCTGACCACTTTAACCAATGTTTTTTTTTGAGTAAAAGATGGTGGTGTACTCATTGCCTGCCTTTATTGCGATGTCACATAAAAAAATTTAAAAAATTGGTTTCGTCTGGGGGGGGGGGGGGGCATGGCCCCCTTTGGCCCCCCCCCCCCCTGGATCCGCCCTTGTAAATAGCTATGTTGCTGACTTTTGTTAACATTGACAGCAAACAGTCTGTCCGGCTTTCGCATGCACGCAAATGTTGGTGGTATGGGGTCCGCTCATAAGTCCGACGCTCATTGGTCCGACGCCGCATAAGTCCGAAATTTTGGACTAATGAGGCGTCGGACTTATGAGGCATCCGCCTCATAGGTCCGACGCCGCATAAGTCCGACGTCTCATAGCTCCGACGCCTCATAAGTCCGAAACAGCATTTGTCCATTGTCGGACTTATAGGGCGTCGGACCTATGAGGCGGAATTTATGCATCATAAGTCCGACGCCTCATAAATCCGAAATTTTGGACCTGTGAGGCGTCGGACCTATGAGGCGTCGGACTTTAATACGGCCCCGGTGGTATTGCCAATCAGAATGCGGCTTTTTTTTTTCAACTGAAATACAAGTCGTACTGAGACGTAGTGGGGCTCTGTAATGTATATTTACCCTCTTTGACAAGATTTGGCAAAACCTGCCAAGGAAACGATGACTAATAAATAGGGGTCAATATGTACCGACGCAGGTCAGTGGCGCCTATAGTTGTAGCACATTTTTTTTTTCAGTTTTCTGTGTATCTTTTTTTCTTCTAATTGTCATGACCAATCATCAGGCTAAAATTCAATTCAATGCATCAGTTAATATTTGAGTGAGCTTGTCCATAAGGAGAGTTTTTCTCTGTGTTAACAAAAAAAACAACCATTTACGGTGAGAGCCATCATTTTTGGTTATTATTCTGTGTATTTTTTTTCTACTTGTCGTGACAAATCATGTAGCTGAAATTCAAATCAATTAATCAGTTAATTTTTGAGTTAACGTATCCATACGGACAATGAAGTTTCTGTGCTGGCCAATCTTCTGCAGACTCTAACTGCAGATTTGCAAGTTTTTCTCCGTGTTGAACACTATTTACGGAGAGAGCCACAATTTTTGGTTCATATTCTGTGTATTTTCTTTCTAATTGTCATGACCAATCATCTGGCAAAAATATCAATTCAATTCAAGTTAACTTCAAAAGTTAGTGTGTCCATATGGACTATGTCGTTTCTGTTCAATAGTTCTGTTCGATCTTCTGTAGATTGTGACAGTACATTCGCAATTATGTCGGTTTTGTGCCACAATAGCCTTCACTTTGCAACTCCGGTCACCTTCTGTAGTACCAGCTGGCTTCGACCTCCCCAGAAGAAGCTGGTGTCACCTTAACCGGCTGCTCACATGCCACGGGCGTGCTGGCTACATGCTACACAAGTGGCATATGAAGCCAACACCTGAGTGTGACTGTGGGGCTGCTGATCAGACAGCAAGGCACCCTTGTCAACGAGTGCCCAATCAGAAAACTGGACGGTGGCATCGTTCGTCTAACCAGCGGTGACCCGATCGCGACACTGTGGCTGTCAAACATGGACCTTGACATTTGATTCAGCGCTGTATACGAGAGAGAGAGAGACTTTGCAACCGCCGATGATCTTTCAAAATGAACAAAAAAATGTTTGTTTCATTGCAGAAATTCACACGCTTTGGGAACATCTTTGAAATTGACCTCCCTGTCAATGCTTGGTTAATTTTAATGTCTGGATTGATTCCTTTTTTTCTGCCAGTAAGCTGAGTTTGGCAAATACCGTATTTAGTAGTGCGTCCTTTCTTGAAATGTTCCCAATGTCATTCACAAAATGATTAAAAGAAGAGACAGTATTTTTGAGGGCCAGCCTAGTGCCCTGTGTGTCTCGATCTCATCGATGACTGCCACTTGTGACTTAGACTGGAGTGCCAATTTTACAAAGATACCTTGTTCTTTTATCAATTTCTTTTCAGAAAACAAAAATGGTGATGCAGCCTTCACCAGACGGAAGGCAACCAGCCATGTATATGATTAGCCGCAGCTGTTCTCCACATGGTGCTCCGTGTGTGGAAGGGGATCAGGTGCTGATGAACAACGCAACCATGTCACAGTTTTGCTGTACGGGGGCGCTCTGCAACGGTCAGGGTATGGTTGGATTCAGCGGCTTGCTTGGTCTCCTTGCTCTGCTGACTACAGCAGCAATTTTTTACTAGTGCTGGCCCGTTCTTGAAAATTAAAGCTATAGTCCATCATTTGCAGCCATCCGAAAAAGTAACTGGCGTATTATTGTTGAAAAACATACTTGGTTGAAAGATAGTAAGTGGACTAAACTCCCCGTGAAATTAATCTGTCTGGCAAGCTATCATTTTGAAGTAATCAACGAAAGAAAGCCTTTCCAACGGTGCGTCTTAAGACGCACCGTAGGAAAATTTAAATTAGTAGATATTTTTGTTATTCGGCGCAGCGCGCGCAAGCTAGGCACGACGCACAGGTGCGCGCGGTTGCTATGATTCGTCGGATCAGTGCGCGACATCGCGTATTGCTGCAATTCAAAACAATTCAAAACATGATTCAGCAACTTTTGATTTGAAATTGAGATCCTAGAATTTTTCTCGGAAAATACAGCTGAGCTCAGCTGAAACTTCATCAGGTTAATTGTTCAGTATCCTTCATTAGATTTTGAACACTTTTGTTGCTTCAAACGAACAAAATGCACAAATTACAAATGATGGACTATATCTTTAAGAGACGTGTGCCTCTGGATTTGGGCTGATACACAAAAGCCTATTAACGTATTGAGGTTGAAGAGTGTTTTAAATATGCCTCATGGTTATAACTGCAAAGCATGCCTTAAATCTCTTTCCTTCAGCTAAATTGGGTAACAGAGAAAGTTATTAAAAAAAGGAGAGCCTGTCAGTCTAAGTGTGTCATTACGCCAATCAGACTAGCATGTTGTTTACATATCTCCATAACGAATGTATTTCTAATTAAATTTACTGCATTGTATAACAAAAATAAAGCTACTTATTTACACAGTCATCACTATACAGTCGACTCTCGTTAGTACAAACTCTGTTAATACAAAATTCTGGTTACAACAAACATAAAGCCTTGGTCCTGACTGTGTCTTTATGTGCACAATGAATGGGGCTGATGTTCCTCTTAATACGAATTTCTGATAATAAACAATTTGGCTAATTCCGAACGAGTTTGTTATAACGAGACTCGACTGTACACACAAGAACTGGTTAATGATACACCTACCTACGGAAACCATACATCTATACAGCATTTGAAAATATTTACAGTGCATGGTTTTCACATGGGAAGCCAGCCTCTTGGGCTGATTTAAAAAACGAAAACCAATGTTCGGATGAAATCGCATTTCTACAATCTCTTGGAAAACTCTAGCTTTTAAAAGTATGAAACAAAAATATTACAGAATCTATTTAATTACAAAAGTTAAGGGAAAATACAAAAACTATACTCCTAACGCAGTGTGTGAGTGGAGTTGCCAACGACTACCCAGGAATAATTTGTGTTGACACCTGTTAAAATGACATAGCTACAATTAACAACAGATCTAAAATGTGACCCTCCAGCAAAAAAGAAAAGAAAAAAGGACGGATGTCATGCACACGGCCGTATTTACCGGAATTCAGATTTGAATTTTAGGAAATTTGACTTTGGGAAATTTCTGAAGGAGCTCATTTTGAGAAAATGTAACGACACATTTTTCAGTTTTTTTTTAACTCCATGAGACCTCTGGAAAGTGGGAACTTGAATAACTTATAACTCTCTCAGATTCTGTCCGATTCCAATATTCTGTATAATCATTGGAAGCTTATTCAATGCGCTTTCCAATGACCTTATGAGCCCAAAATGCCAATGCAATGAGCCCAACGTAATTGGTCAAAGTCATTTTATGCTGGAGGGTCACAAAATGTTCGAAGTCAATCTATAACTGTTTAAACCCTCAATGACCAACATAGACATTATTTTGTGCAATTAGTTTTTTTTTAGAACTGTGATATTATCATATCTCCTGTTTACCAGTTTACCTTTTATGAAATACATTTTGGAAATATATTGTTGCTTTCCAGTTCTTTCCTGTAAGTATCGGTACTTTCATGTGTAATGTCCTCTCTGTACCTATCTCACTGACGGACGGACTGACTGGCTGGCTGACTTAGTGTCACTTGTTCGCAGAGCAGTGTTATCAAAGATAAAATGACTATGCCTAAACCCGGCTCCAGAGACCACATACTCTGCAGAAACTGTAGTGTTAATTTAACACCATTCGGTATCTATATAGGACAACACCAGTAAAATTTAACACCAGATGGTCTCATAATTATAGATACCAATGGTGTAAATTTAACACTGCAGTTTTTGCAGTGTAGATGAAAAGATTTCCTGTAAATGGTCACTCTAAATCAAGTTAATATAGATTGATGTATTCTGATACCAGCTTGCCTAGTCTCATTTATGTTGATGCAATTTGACGTGGTCCACTTTATTTGTGGATGCTTGAATTCCCCTGACTATCTGTAGGATGGCTGCACAACGCCTGCTGACTGGGCTGATCTGTGCCGTGATCCGTGCCGACAGGACGGTTAACTGAACCCACCCTATTGCCGGTAAAGTTGACCTGCTCCGCAACGGCGTTCTTACGGAAAACCGCTATGATCTAGGGGAGAACACAATAATAATAATACGCATTTATAAAGCGCTGGTATCTAGATTCGCTCGTACCCCCCGCCCTGCAAACAGGACGCTGGGATACTCGGATGAATTCACGCTCTGATTGGTTGGATTTGCGTGACCAGTGACCTGCGCGTCATCAAGGTCATGACTCTGCAAGGTTTTGAAACGGCCGTTAAGAATGATTCATTACTCTTTTATTCCAGTTAAGAGATGTAGGAAATTCTGTAAAACTTATCTGTGTGTGTAAATTTACAATTCCCATCACTTGCTCAGGCTCCGTTTCGAATCACGAACGGTCGGATTGCATTATGCGACGCTCAAAATTTTGTCCACATGGTCCGCAATGAAACAGAAATCACATCCGGTATGGAATGTGCGTATTTCTATGGGAAGTTTTCGGATAGCATTTGCGCACATTGTCTAACTGCAGTCTTGAACAGCTGCAGCCAGATGCTTTATACAAAGGTCATAGGCCATTTCCTTCACAAGATTCTGTGAAGCTCATCAGAGTATCCCAGCGTCCTGTTTGCAGGGCGGGGGGTACGAACGAAGTATCTAGATAAACATATTCACTGGTCTGAGCTCTTCATAGGCTTGAATGAAGAGGTACGTTTTGAGACAAGTTTTGAAAGAGTCAACGTCAGGGTTGTGATTTCAGGGCTATTGGCTGACTGTTCCGTAGGCGAGGGGCTGCAACAGAAAACAAAGTCTGTCTTCAACAGTCGTTAACCTTGAAGTTGTCGCCACAGGCAAGTGTACATCACGAGAACGTAGTTGGCGCAAAGGCTTGTATGGCGATATGAGATGTTGCATGTGGTGGGGTGCTATTCCGTTGATACATGTAGACTGGTAGGTGATGAGGAGGAGTTTGAATATGAGCTATAGTCCATCATTTGTAATTTGTGCATTTTGTTCGTTTGAAGCAACAAAAGAGTTCAAAATCTAATGAAGGATACTGAACAACTAACCTGATGAAGTTTCAGCTAAGTTTCAGCTGTACATTCCGAGAAAAACAGCATTCTAAGATCTCAGTTTCAAATCAAAAGTTACTGAATAATGTTTTGAATAATTTTGAATTTCAGCTATACGCGACGTAGCGCACTGATCCGACGAATTATAAAACCGCACGCGCGTGTGCGTCGTTCCAATACTTGTGCGCGCTGCGCTGAATAACAAACGAACTACTAATTTAAATTTTCCTACGGTGCTTCTTAAGAATCACTGTTGGAAATGCCTTCTTTCGTTGATTACTTCAAAATGACAGCTTCCCAGAAAGAATAATTTCACAGGGAGTTTAGTTCCCTCACTATCTTTCAACCAAGTTTGTTTTTCAACAACAATTACGCTAGTTACTTTTCGGATGGCTGCAAATGATGGACTATAGCTTTAACGGAAAGCCAGTGTAATACTTTGAAGACCGGGGTAATGTGTTCAAACTTCTTTGTGCGTGTGGCGGAGGCCGCCAGACGGAGTTGGTAGCTGACGGCCCAGCCGAGGCGGGCGGGCTTGGACTCCCCATCCCGCGTGGGGAGTCCTGGCTGCAATGTTCTGGATTCTTTGAAGATGATCGATTGTGGAAGCTGAAAGTCCATATAATTATAGTGGATTGCAATAGTATATCACTGGGTACACTGCATCCATTTTGCAAGCTCCGACAATTGGGGAAAAAAAGGTTCAACCTAAGATCAAGTACTTATATTTTGTTTATCAATACGATTTTGTCATGCCTTTCGGGCAAAATACTTGTACAAATTCTTAATTTCCCGAGGTAAACTGTTTATGCATAAGGACTGGCAAATGTCCCCGTTATCATTATTACATGAAGTAACTTACTGTCTACGTGACAACAAAATTCAAATTGCTTTGGGTTGCTGTTTGTTCAGAGGAGGGGAAATGTTTATCTTCACGCTTTAGAGAATGCCCATAAGAATACGATCATAAACAGACCAAGTGAATAAATGAATGAATCAATGAATAAACAAACCGTCCATTCTCACCTTAGGAATGAAGAGCATGCAGAGAGTCATCGTCGTGCAGAGTAGCAGAAAGCCGGCCACCAGGGCATAGGTCACTCCCATAGAGGACACATTGAGAATGGACAAGGGTACAGCAACCACGCAGCATATGACTGTGTTGTAGATGGACAAACCCACGTAGTAACTGTCATTCAGACCTGGAACATTCACATTCCTGAAATATAAATATTTTAATTATTCACAGTACATGAAAATTGTAAGCTGATTAATTAAGAAGGGAATATAACAGTGTGGAGGAACAGTTTTACGGTAGTCTAATTTAAAACTGGGTAGGGGCCTGGTCGCCCAAGTTAGTTCTAAAGACAACGCTCTCAATAACGTATGTTACACTGTTTGATTAAATTTGTTTCATGGATGACGTTTGGGTCCAACTATAAGTATGAGAATTGTCCCCACTAGCCCTGATCACCTAACCTGTAAACCTAGCTGTCAATTTTCATTGTTGTACTCTCATATGAATGCTAACATCAAAACTGAATAGCCAAACAACGCATCCAAAATACCCGAAACATTTTGTTTTTGAGGCTCTAGCACTCGCCGCAGAAACAGTACCGCAATTATTTTTATATCATTTTAAAGCTTGGAATCTTCAATGTATCCCGTGTGAGTGTTGGTTTGAATTTTAGAAGGTTTTTGAAATTATTCGCGTTCAAATAAAGACATGTCAAAAACAAACTCAACCGATTTCAAGGAAAATCAATCATGCGCATTTGTTCTAATGTGAAAATGCTTCATCATGTTCATGATGTGATGATCTCGTTGCCTTTTACTTTCTGTGTTTCCTATTCTCTCCGATCCACGTAGACTTCACCTCAAATGAAGTTACAATGTTGTTTCTTCGTTTCAAGTTCAATTTTGAAATTCACGTGCAAGTATGTGCGGATTAAAAAAAAGCGCTCAAAGTGTGACTCGAGTTTGCATCTGATGTACCGCGTCATCGATTTTCCTTGAAATCGTTTTTTGTTTTGTTTCAACATTCCTTTTTTTGAACACAAATAATTCTTTTAAAATACCAATACTCGCCAGGGATAGAGTTCAAATTCCATGCTTTCGAATGATATGAAAATAATGGCGGTACGTGTTTCTGCGCTCACGCTTGAACCTTGCAAACAAATTGCGTTTTTTGGGGGACGCGCTGTACAATGGATTTACCTTGTCGACCAGGCCAAAAATGCGCCAAAGACGACCACAAATGCTTTGTAAATGATGATCGCCATGGTCCATATGGTGTCGTTGACTGACGTGCATTTGACATGTAACTCCACGTACCTCCTGTACAAAGCAAAATCCTCCTCCGTCTACATATGGGGGAATATGGATGACTGCATGGTCACATTTAAAGACCCATACTAAACAGTGTCAAAAGAAGAGCTCTAGCTAGATTGATTGCATTTTTTTTTACCACAATACGGCCTGTAGATCTATGTGCAAATAATTGTGTCGTAATTTTATAGTATAGGTGTTAGGGCAAAACCTGAGATGTTGTGTGGCAGGGACATTGATTTTTATTGTCGAAAGCACTGACGGTTGAGTTAAACGATCATTATCAGATGTACAAAGATGCATTTGTATGAACACGTTCATGAACACGGGAATACAAAATTAATCACTGAATCATTAAGCACAGACTAATTGCTAAACCTTTTTTTAATTGTGGAATATAACAATAGTGACGATTCTATTTGAAATTAAATGGAATGTACATCATTGGCTTTTGCTTTAACTTTCAGAAATGAACTATTTGAGGGGTTAGTATATATAATAGATCAAATTATTGTTGCACTGACATGTTTGAATTTTTGTGTTCGAAAATGCTGGGAAAAACCAAGAAAAACAAAAGTGTTCAAGTAGTCTGGTTCCCTGACTCCACTGAAAATGAAATGGATCGATTTATAGATGCCGGAAAAATGTACAGTAAGGGAACCAGTCTAGCTGGCCTGCCCCCATTCATGAACATGCAACCAATAGCAAACAACATTTGGACTAAAAAAAAAGGTAATTTAAAGCAGCAGTTGAAAAATAGTTTAAGTTTTTCCAACGGTGGTCGGCCGACCACCGTTGGAAATGTATACACAAATACCATTTACTTGAAAATGACTTCACACCAGGTGCCATAATTTTACAGGATGCTTTAGACTGTCATTTACCAACAACCTGTAAGGTATTTCGTAAAAAGTTGGTAGTTTTTTTTCTATGCTTGCAAATGTTGTATTTTCCCTTTAACGTTCACAATGTTATTAGTGAAAATACAAGTCGTGCTCAATTTGATGGTTTCGATCATTTTAACTTTGTCCATGATTGTTACGTCTTTGATTTACCATACCTGCGGCACAAGAACTTCTTCATTTACAATTCCAATAGGATCAATGATCTGCCATGGAATCAGGATAGCCAGATCTACCAGAAGCAGGATTCCAATAATGATGAACAGATGATGGTCCTTGATAACCTGTTACAGTTAAGAAAACAAAATAGTGTCAGAGAAAATTATATTGACTGTTCATCATTGGAGGATAACAACTTTTTAAATCAAAGCAGTGTAGTCTCAGGAATGCAATAAACATGAATCAGACCTCATTAATCAACATCACAATCAATCATAGAATTAACATTTAAGGCCCACTTCCTGTAAAACGGACACCAGAGTATATTATTTGTTAATAATGGCTGGCCACGGAGACAGCATTATATGAATGTAATCATTTTTAAATGATCTCAATATGTCCGTGTCGCCTGTTTTATGAAAAAGGGTGATGAAGTAAATCACCAATGAATGTCAATTGATAGCTTGGTTATAATTGTACTAAGATTGTTTTAAGGGCATTTAATTCTCTTCGATGTTTATACTACTTTTTTCCTCACGAGAGGACTATTTTTTATCAGGGGAGTCAGGTTGGCGTAGCGGTACTTTCCTCGCCTTCCACCGCTGTGACCCGGGTTCGAATCCCGCCTGGGTCAATATGTGGATTGGGTTTTCAGTCCCTACCTGATTCCGTGGGTTTTCCTCAGAATATTCTTCTGGGCTTTTCCTCCCACCTCTAAAACTGTAATTTATTCACATTGTCTTCTCTTTACTGGGACCCATGGGAGATCAGTGGATTCCACTGAATGGGCTACCCAGTTAATATAAGAAATAAATAAATGCTTTTATCATGCTAAGACACCCACTACGAGTTTTGTTTTGTTTTGTTACATAAAACCTTATTAGTTCGTTACACCACTTATTGGTTTGATTGTGTTCAATGATAGACAAACACGAAGTAAACGTTATGCGTTAATAAGAGAATTGTCCAAAACATACAGACATCTCTCGATTTTTGTACTTCATTAGTATATGATGATTCTGCATAATGTTGGTCATAGATTGGGAATGACTCCTGTAAACGGACCTTGAATCAAACGTTATAATTGCGAAAGAATAGGCTGTTTAATTGTTTTCGAGAAGAAGAAAATAAAACACCAAGCCACCTTTCTTTTTGTTTTGTTGTGAATGACGATGCTATACACACGCCACATTTTGGTGAACATTCCCCCGAATGCAATGGTAAAAGCCAGGGCCAATCCCCACGACCGAACCTGAAGATGAAAAGAGAGAGAAAAAAAATAAACTACAAAATGCATACAACACTGAAATAAATTACAATGCCCTTTGTATATGCCCATGTACGCAATGCAATTACAACGCACACAATGCATTGCAAATATGGTTTTAATTTGATAATACCGTTAAGTTGGTATGAATGCATTTGACGTCTTTTCTGGAAGCACAAAAGTAGCATCCGAACCTTTGTGCCATCACCAAATCTCTTTTCAGCGGTCGTTAAGTTAAGAAGCTGAAGTCGGAAATCGATAGTTACATCCACAATTTCCGCTGGAGCTCGTCAAATTTACCCAGACACACGACAACGGTCATTCTAAAGTGAATCAATAATTTTTTTTAACGAGGGAGTCTGTAATATCGAGTTTTAATCACCACTTGTCAAAACTTCATGGTTTATAGCTGCACCGAGAGTTTGTCTTTCTTTTCTTTTCTTTTCATTTTCGTTATTGATTGCCGCTTCAAGGTCCGAATAGCACGCACAGTTAGGAACACAACCATTGAGCATCTTCATCGCTCTTCAAAGGTTAGAGTCCTGAACTCGTATAAAACCAAAATGCACTTTAGTGTCACAAGAAACACAAGAATAAGTACTCAGGAAAGCCAGCGGGATCAGCTATGAAATACAAATCCCAAGTCACATGTTGCTCTGATTGCAGTCCAAAAATTGTGTTTAGCGACAATCTTGCTGTCAGTACTTTGTAAACATTTTTAGAAGCTAAATATGACATGTTTAATTACTGAACATCAATGTTCAGTTGCTAAACGCTATCCGTCAATACCCTCAACACATTTCGTATTAAACATGTTTACCCAGTGATACCAAGAAACTGTTTAGAAAAGTATTTTATTGCTTAAAGGGAATAGGGCCTATACAACATTTGCAAACATCGAAAAATAAAACTGCCACATTTTTACGAAATACCTTACTAGGATGTTGGAAAATTACAGTTTAAAGCATCCTGTAAAATTATGCACCTGGTGTGAAGTCATTTTCAAGAAAATGGTATTTTTGTAAAAAATTCCAACAGTGGTCGGCCGACCACCGTTGGAAAAAGCTAACTATTTGTCAACTACTGCTCCAAATTTACCATTTTTTTTTCAGTCGAAATTTTGTTTAGTATTGGTTACATGTTCATGAACGGGTGCAGGCCAGCTAGACTGGTTCCCTTACCTTACAATTTTCCGGCATCTGTAAATTGATCCATTTTATATTTAGTGGAGTCATGGAACCAGATGACTACTTGAACATTTTTGTTTTTCTTGGTTTTTCCAGCATTTTCGAACACAAAACATCAAACATGTCAGTGTAACAATATTTGATCTATGATACTAACCCCTTAAATAGTTCATTTCTGAAAATTACAGCAAAAGCCAATGATGTATATTCCCTTTAACACAGCTTTTGCAGTGTGGGATTCGAACCCGCGTCACATACATTGGAGAAAGGAACTCGCGGCCCCAACTATCGATGACATTAACATAAAACGACCATCCTGACAAACAGGGTGACGGTTAAAATCCGTTAAGAAATTAGTGCTTGCTGATCACATTTTTTCTTTAAGATTCCACTTGCAAATAAATCAATTATTAAACAATAACAAACTTAAAGCATTTACCGTGCAGAGAATACGGAGCGTGTCTTCGTCGACCAGGGAGCGATCCACTCCCATCAGAATCACACACAGGTAAGCCAATATAATACCAATTGATATCAAATTGTTTACCTTCGGGCTGGACATCTTCACTTGTCTAGATTATAAAAAACAACAAGATAAAACAGTCTTGCTTGATTGAGTGATGTTAATTATCTCTAAAGGTATATTTTGAGAGGAAGAACTTACTGCTTTAATGATAAATGCTCGCAATTATTAATTCTACATTGGAAACGCTGAAGCGTGAAATTCAAACTCATTACATACATGTACAAACATACTGCCAAAAAGGAGGAAAACAGCCACGGTCTGAGGGTTAGGCGGAGGGTTATGTTACGAGTTATAAGATTAAAATTGAGGTTAGTTCATGGTCTGATACCCTGTTGTTGAGTTGGAATTATGTACAAGTCCCAATCTTATGGAACTCATTTTGAGCACAATTGTGTGATAAATTGTAATCCCAGTGAAGAGCGTTCCATGAGTTTGCTTTAAAAAAATAACATTTGGAATTGATGGGTCAGAAAAGCCTTTTCGGGCATTGTTAATTGACTTTTGATACCCGTCGTCTTTGAAGTATACGTTATTAAAAAGTGATACCATGTGCAAGTGGCTGCATTATCATCACAGAAAACAATGACTATTTCCGATGGAAAATAACTGCTGTTCTTATTATGTGTGGTGCTTAATAGCTTACGATACCATAGCCAAATGAACATAGAAGAAGTTCGTGGCTGTATCGTATAACGGGTTACACCTCTATGTTCCGACACCCCTATGTTCCGACTGCACATATTCCTATTCCTATTCCTAACCCTAACCCTAACCCTAACCCTAACCCTAACCCTAACCGGGAGTAACACATTCTAGGTTGTCGGAACATAGGGATGTCGGAACATAGAGCAGTCACCGTATAACGTTGTCAAAATTGTTGAGAGTACCAGATTAATTTTGTGAACCTCGCTTTCCTTTTTTGTATGATCGTTTCGTCTGTGCATTATGAAAATTGCAATGTATCATGTAATTCACCTTGGGGACCTTTACACACCTGTTTTGCCGTTTCCAGATGTTGAACACTATAAAACAAATGGCAATGATTGTCCCGAGACAACACAAGACACAGACCGTGATCAGGATTGCTATCGGTGTAGACTCAAGTTGCGTTATTGTCTGGGTGATATCGTAATCGAAGGGCGCTTTACCGCCTATGTGGACAAAAGGGAATAAAAAAAAAACCCATTTCATCCGTGGGCTGTTATAAAGCGAAATGTCTTACTTATCTCATTTGCTCAAGGTCATACAGAATAACTAAAATATATTAAAATGGACATTCAATACAGATCTGTTTTTTGAAGGACACGTTTTTATTATGCAATACTGCGCTTGCGCACATCTTGTTTTCACTATTTTTTTTCTTTTAAATAAAATTGAACGTGATATTTCTAGATTATAGAGAGTACCAACGAAATTCGAGAAAGGTTTTTAGCTTCATTACAAGTACTACGCACTTGCATAATCGTTGCACCAAAATGTAACAGTAGTTGGAACAAAAATATGCACAATAGAAATATAATCGACTCACGCACGCAGCATTGCAAATATTGCTTGTTACTTTATCCCTCTAGAAAAAAAAATCAATTTTGTTGATAACTTTATTTGATTAAGTCTTATTCTCTAAGCAGGAAAGCCCTCGACTACGAACGTACATTTTCAGAGCCTTCAGCATACGATAATTGTCAATATAATGGAAAGTGAAGAGCTGTTGCTACGACTACATGTATATCACAAATTAGCGTCACAATGCTTTGTCCAAGCCTTATCAAATTGGCGTCACCTGACAGTGCGTTGACATGCACGTACCTGCATAATACCAAATTTCTCTGGTGCTGATCAGCCAAGAAACTGAGTTGTTATCCTTGTCGTAAGTGCCTATGACCTCCTCACTTCCATCTGCATATATAAAGTGAGATATGTCAGCATTGTGTCTGAAGACGGAATATGATTCAAGTCCGTACTGGAGTATGGTTCAACTCCGTCAAAAAATGACACATTTTCCTGGCGTTGTAGTTCATCTTTACCTTTTTTGTTATACTTGCACTCATTTTTTGTTTCCCTTACATTAAAATTGTCTGATTTGTACTGAAGTGATCATAACTGTTCCTACTTCTAAATTAAGTAAAATAAATGGAAAGGAACTTACCCATTCCAACAAATGAAAAAAAAATGTGCTGCATTTGGTTATGCCACATTGAGAAAACATATTCCCTAATTCGTTTCGACACAGCATCGGATGCATGATTCAACACCCGTGAAAGGCATATAGGATTCGTCCCAAGAGTAACCTTTGTTGCGATTGTTTTTATCAAGAAACTTACTTGGATTAAAAAATCGCACTGGTACTAAACACAACTTGAAATTGTTCCCCCGGCTTGCTCTCATTTAGAAGAAATCAAAAAAATATAGGTGGTTTCCAACAATCACGTAATTGACTGATCATTGGTAGTAAAGAGTGATATAGAAGAAATCATACAATGTGATCAAAAGGTTGTACGTGCATTTTTTTTCAGTGGTTTCTCCAAAAGTGTAATATCCACTGAGCTGAAACGTCAACAGCTTAGGTTATACATTCCTCTTTTAATTTATACATTCTTCTTTGCATTTCAAGTGGTTATTGGAAACGAACAACATGTATAAATGAAAAGCAACTTATGCCTTTAATGATTAATAATTATGATTATTGTAATTACTTATATTCTGTTCAATCAGAAGTGTTCCAACTCTGTCACCCAGTTCAGAATATCCAAAAGGACCCTGTGCAAAAAAAGTGTATCAAAACATCAAAATATTACCTTAATAAAAATCATATCAACAGTTCAATAATGATTGTATGAAGCCCACTGAAAATTTTCATCAGAAACCTTATGTAATAATTATAAATAAAAATGTGTAATGCGCACGTTATAATAACAAGAATTAACACAAATGAAATTCATTGTTTAAAAAGGGGGTTCAAAAAGTAAGTACATCTAAAATGCATATTAAGACAGTAACATTAAAAATACACTGATACATAAGCAATGAAATAAGTTAAAAGCCAGTTTAAAAAGATAAGTCTTAACTTTGCGCTCAAAACTGTCAATGGACTGAGAATGTTGAATGTCGGTAGGCAACTTATTCCATAATTCTGGGGCTGCTGATGAAAAGGATCTACCTCATTCTGCACTTCGGAATTTCCAAACGCACTTTTTTTTGGAACGTAAACAATATGCGGACGTTTTCTTAACAGTAACACGATCACTGATGTACTTTGGGGAAAGACCATGGAAAACGTCAAAAGTGAAAAGAAGTATTTTAAAATCTATATGAAATTTCACTGACAGCCAATGTGGTTGACGCAAACCCGGTGATACGTTGGTTGGACGTGTGTGTATTGCTAACTTTACCTAGCAGCTGCCTCATGAACGCTTTGTAATTTGGCTATTTCAGAGTTGGGTAGACCACACAGAAGACTGATACAATAATCAAGGCTGATGGTAATACAGGGCGGGGATCTAACCAATGTTCCCCAATACCGATGTCCCCCACTACCGATGTTCTCTCAAATCCTTAGGACTAGGGTTAGGGTTAGGGTTAGGGTCAGGGTTAGGGTTAGGGTTATATTGGTAGGGATTTCGGGGAACATCGGTATTGGTATGCACCCTACAGGGCATGGGCGTCGCCAGGATTTTTTTTAGAGGGGGGCAAAAAAATTTTTGCCAAAAAATGTTTGTATTTCTCAACACATTCTCGATTTATCAGTTTTAGAGGGGGGCAGGGACATTTTGCCCCCCCCCCCAACTCATTAAATTTACACCACTTTGTCTTCGCGCCTCTTTTTCTTTTCTTTTCTTTTTTCTTTTTTTCTTCCTTTTTTTTTTTTTTTGCTTTTCCAGGGGGGGGGCAAGTTGCCCCCCCTCGCGACGCCCATGCTACAGGGAGTCCTGAAAAAAAATGGTGCATTTAAACCCCTCAATTTTTGCTAATTTACAACCGAAATTTTCTGTGGATGTTAAAACCATTTTCAAAGTAATAAATTTAGCTTGAGAATACCGTTTGTTTCTTTGAGATTGCTTTTGTAAATCGAAAGATATATTTGAATAACGGCAAAGCCAAGAAACCCATTTTGTGCCACTCTCTGTGAACCAGTTAAAATCAGTATAGTCCTAGTCTAAAACCAAGTCACTTTACTGTTAGTGATTTTTAAGCAGAGTGTGCAATATTTGTTTATATTTAGTTGAACTCTTTCATTGAAGTTTTAAAGAAGTGAACCTGTCTGTACTATTAAATTGTTTCAACATAAGAACAAAACCCTACATTGTCGTGTGAATGGAATGTTTGTCTTACACCCATAGGGATAATCTTATCAAAAGAGCCATACTGGCATTGTCTGATCTTTGAAGCACTCGCTTCCTAAAAGTGGCACACTTTTGGCTTTGCGGTTATTCAAACATATCTCTGGATTTACAAAAGCAATCTTAACTAAACAAACGGTATTCTCAAGCTACATCCGTAACCTTGAATATCGTGTAAACATTTGCAGTTAATTCCGGTTGTAAATTGGCGAAAATGGCGGGGTTTACATGCATACACCATTATTTTCAGAACACCCTGTAAATTCATGATTAATGGTGATGCATGGACAAAAAGGACAAAACCTGCTAATACAGTGTCTTTGGGAACAAAATGAAAGACTTATTAAAAAAACAAACAGTTTGATATTGGTATTAGGAATGACTCTTAAACAAAATAAACATATTTGGGTGCACATCCTTCTCTTGTTTTCACTCAAATTCACTCAAAATTAAATAGCGCCGTCCAAATAAAGGCTTTTTCATTTACCGAGACACCTGGGAATTTCTGGCGCTGTACGCAGCGGCTGACGACATCGGCGAATTCCTTATCCTCGTAATGAAAGGTATCCAGTGATCTGTTGAGCTCCTTCTCAGCGTCGTGTAAACCTAACGCCAAGGACCACATCCCATCATAAGCATTGGCTGTCAGACCACGACCTGTCACGGGGATGCTGTAACCAACCACCGGCTCCATTTGTCTACGATATTCCGCCGGTGTCTGCATGAGGGAACCAATCAATTTACTCAAAAGAGTATTTGTCGACCTAATATTAGGAGTATAGTCTCAGCAAACAAAATGTCATAAAGGGACCTCTCCAGAGATTTAATGTCCTTTAAAAAAATGTAAGAAACTTTTGAAGTTCAGCTTTTTAAAATATCACATTTTCACAACCCGACTAATGAAATCGGCAAACTTCATCTCATTATTATTATTGGTTCCAACTACACAGCTGTCATGCTGAATGCGAATGTGCTGAATGCTTTGCCAGACTAAAATGTCACCATGCATCCATTGGTACAATATTGACAACGGTGTTCAAATCTACGATATTGGTAACAGGACGCCCAAGTGTAAATACTCGCGAGATTATTTCGATCCAGTACTTCAATTATAAAGTACTTGAATTCAGCGGGAACAACCATGGCTTGCTGGTAAAAAGGGAATGACAAATGTGCGTAATTGGACCGAGGTACTTCCTTTAATTGGTTAAAAGCGTCAATATTTGAGAAAAAGTGGTCCACGCTGCTCCTGTATTGTTGACTTTAATTCAGATATGTTTGTTGAAGGACGCGATACTGAGACGAAATGAATCAGAGACTGTAGACTCTGGGCAAGTCTAGTTTGATTTTCGTGATTGCAATTTTGCAGTGGTCTGAAACGTTATAACTGGATCAGTCAAACAGGCTCAAATTCTCATCTACAAATTCACTGCTGAAAAAGTTTCCAATTGTAAAGCAGTGACAGACAAGTTGGCGGTCATATATAGACCTATTTCAAAATACCTTCTTATTCCATAATACTATCTTTCAAACATTTCAGGCAACTGAAACAATCTGTTTCTAAAGAGGAAAACTAAAAATGCGATGACAAAAAGTGACTCACAAATTGACAAGGACATTTAAAAAAGCAGCTTTATAGCCTAGTTTGTAGAGGCTTCAGAAATAAAATAAAACTGGCTGATTTGTTTTCAAAGGTCGAACAGCTAGACATTATAATTCACAAATTGCATTATCTTATACAGACAGTGTTGTACAATTCTTTAGACAAAAACATACATATTGATTATTGCAAAACGTTAAGTTGAAGTTAACCTAAAAGTCTGAGACGTTGTCGGGCGCGATGACCTTGTTGATTCTTGTTTTAAATATATAGGACCTATATACGTCCTATAACACTAACGTAACAATTTATATATTGATGTATTAATCTGCAACCAAATCCCGGGCTAAGTTCAGCTTATCTTCACAAGAATTGTGAAAAGGCATCACACGAGTTTTGCATTGTTTCAGATTGCAGTGCTAACTGAGCCGATGCATTAAGCAAGCAAATTTAACATTCCCGGAATGACTAAAAAGTCACTGAATCTAGCCTGGTAAAAAAATCATATCTATTCTCTTGACTATAGCAAGAATTGACTTACTATGCCCGCGATAGTATTGACTTCTTCTCGACCGTACTGACTCCACATGATGGTCAGATAACCCTCGCTAGCTATCTTGAGTTCATCAGGAGTGCAACTTACACCTTCCTCTGCAACCTTCCACCAACCGTTTTTGAAGTAACCGGGTATCATCCACACGTATCGCGAACCATAAAGGCCCAGTCGGTATGCCTGGAAAACAAAATAATGGTAAAATAAAGTGTTTTCAAAAGCACTTTGGAATTGTAATATTAATGTGTTTTGTGCATAGTTTACCTAGCCGAGGACTTCATTACTGACGGCAATAGTCAGCCTGTCCGTACCTCCATCTCACTGCCCAAGAGCGCCCCGCGTGGTCTGATTTGAACTCATCCATATCAAACCCTTTCCATCTTAACCATGCACTTAACATATCTCGTAGCATAAAATCAGGCAATCGCAAGTGCTGTATCGCAGTCTCTTATGTTTTTTTTTTCATTTTGAGTACCGAAGCAAAACGCAATTAAGATAACAACACGAAACGCAACGCAATGTAAGTGTTTTTAATACAATGACCTTGGCCGAAGCTGGCAAAAACCATTTTATAATTAATCCCTGACCATCGAAAGGTATTAAGCAAATTACACAAACAGCGAGTAATACTTACGCTACAAAACACCTTACGGACTCGTCCCTCATAAAAGTTGGCCGCTATTATCCTAGCGTCCTTGTCCTGAAAAGAACGATTGGATTATATGATTTTCCTCGTCCATGTGGAATCCAAATATAATTTGTCAGAAGGATTAAAAATTGTTCGATTGACAAAGCGTTTTATCCACTCCTTGGTTTTCAAGCATGATCGAATGAGGTTTATATTGGGGGGGGGGTAATGCATCGTAAAATTAATTTGCTTTTATTGACTGAAAATAGTTGGACGGCACGCACAATGGTCAAATCATTCAGAATGCCATAGTTTGAAGATTCGAGATCCTATCAAGGAGAGTGCTTATGGGTGATTAAAGCGAACAAATTTATGGTATGAAATTTGAAACCTTTTAGCACATACGAATATGATTCCATGTACGCCCACATTACATTTAGATTTACGGCAAGTTTATAGCTGTGGATATCAATCTCGGGTTCCATAAAGGAAAAGAGCTGGTACGTGTTTGTAACTTTGTATATACGGCATTATGTTTCAAGCGTGTCTTTCTTCCTATTTGCAAGGAGAAATTCGCTCCAACTAGACACCTCTCGTCGTTTGTGACGAATGATATGGAAAGTACACTGAAGACAAAACAATTGCTGATGTGCATTCTTATTAACATTGTAACATTAACATTCGTAGGGCAAGAAAATGTGAGGAGCAACAGATAATGGACGTGCTGGAGTATAAAGTACATCCAGTGTTAACATCTACGTTATCCGCACCCAATGAGTTTTTAAAGTTTGATAATACCTTGAGGCGCTGGATTGCGTCAAACGGATTGGCCAGAAAGCTCTCTGCAGCAATTACTGTCACGTTGTTTTGTTCAGCCAATTTCTGCATCTCAACCGTAGTCTGCCCAAATAAAGTATTGATAACTTTGACATTGCACTGAGTAAAACCGGTTAAATCAAGTATTATTTACAAAATACAAAGTTCTGTATAATGTTTCTCAGTGAATGTTTGTAATTGCATCTTGAAGTTACTGACAAGCAGAGTTGCTGTTAAAAAAACCCAGATTGGTCGTCGTTCTTCATACAACGCAAAGATATAATTGGGTTTCGGGGAAAGAAGTACCTTTTGTACAATGAATATGAACGAGGACAAAGTTCCCGTCATGAACAGTTTCAGCTCTGCTGAAAGAAATATTAGCGCAGATAAATATCTTTGTTTGGGTTTCATGGAAAATCGTTAAAATAATGTGTTATTTCAAGCATTTCTTTGGAAGAGTGGACAATGAAGGATTTAAAATAGCTCTATTTATCAATTGCAGCAATTGCAATTCCATGTTTACACAAACAAGTTCATTCTCACCTTAATCTGAACAAAGATCCACAAAGACCTTTACCAAAAATTATTATATTAAATGTTTTTGATAAGTTACCTTTTTCTTAGTGCCCACTTTATAAAATAATTTGGAAAAAATGAATTGCTCAAAATATTCATTAGGATGCATAACTATATTATCTAATGAGATTTGATGGTAGTGGCTTCTATACGCTTGAGAAAACATAGAAAACATATATATGTTAATATTTTTTATCATTTGTCTTTTTTTTTAGGGGGATTCTGTTTGTGATACACGTAAACCAAAATTACAATCTTTTCTCTACCGCCTTTAGGCTAAATTATGAGCAGGCTATTGAATTAGTGCGAGTCCTTCCTTCTTTTTGAGCAAGCTTGTTCGTTTTCGGTTGGTATACGTTAACCGAGTAATTTTAACATGTGCTTTTAATGTGTCAAGGTCAACGAAACGAATTTACCCGGGGAGATTTATGTAGAGGAAAAATTACACCAAAAAAATGAAGTTTTACCCCAACATGAGGTTCAACTGTCTCATGTAGCGTGGCGATCTTAGTCCAACCAAAGCGACGAATGATGCCCATTTCAGCGTGAGAGAACCCGGCCGCTGACGTCAGGACGCGGTAGATGTACGGGTACCTGGCCCGGTCACTCAGTACAGGAGAGGAACCAGCGGGAGAGATCTGAAGCAACATGAAACAATGACAATGATGAGCATCAGCATCACACGTTCATGCCATTGAATCCAATACTACGTTTTACCGGTTGGTGCCACGAAAGTTTAAAAATGGGAATTACTCGAGACGATTGGGAGTGATTGAGAGGTATTAAACACTCTGTTGAAGACAGGTTGGAGTCTGCATATTGCGCATGCCTACGTGAGGATTGTGAAGGTTCAACCAACAAAACGGTGCTGGCACCGGATTTCACAGGAGTCACAATTTCATGTGACACTGGAAAAGTGTGTTAAGACCAGCCAGCCATGTCTTTATCAACCGTTTGAAACCGGCCACTTGACGGGCTCTTGACCAATAGGAATGGGTAAACTGTCTTAAGTCTTTATAAATGGTACTTAAAACCCGCCACAAAAATCATGGGAACAATTTAAGTGTCATGAAATTGAGTCCTACAGTCAAAAGGTGTTGCCCAGAAGCGGACAAAACGAGGTGAATGGTCTCCTAAAACGCGGTGCACTTGAGTAAACCGCAGAGATCCCCTGTCCTCCTGGATGGCCACCAATGTGTTCAAACATGTAACACAATTACACCTTTAAATATCAATTCTCCCGCATATACACGCTTTTTTGTCTTAACCTTGGCAGATTTAATGTTCCTGAAATTGGTAACTCGGAGTGCCGTGAGTAAACTAGCTGTGTAAACGCGATACAGTGAAAGAAGTGTCGGAAGGATTTCTTTCGCTCATCACACCGATTTTGCGTCAGTGTCCCTTGCCCGGCCAATCCATGCGTTACAATGGCCGCAGTCAGCGGCCGGTCATTCAGTATACGCTTGGGAGAATTTTGGTTAAAATGATTTTTACGCTTTTTAAAGCGGGTTTAATTTCACACGTTTCATATCTAAATAGCCCACAAACATGCAAACACAGGAAACAGAACAGAATCTCCGGCTCGATGTGGTATTATTAATTCTATGAAAACCTGTAAGGATTCAATCCAGTGTCAAACAGTATTCACTAAATTATATTACTGCATCTATATTTGATTTACATTATTGAATTTAGTCATAGAATTTATTGTCAGTTGTATATTAAAACATACAATGAAATTCATTATGGCGTTGCGAACTGTTAAAAAAAAGTATAAATACATACATATATAAATCAATGAGTAAAAATGTGTTAATAACGACTTATTACTGATAAAACACCTTGTACAATTACTATTTAAAAAATGCATTGATACTCAAAACCAAATAAATTAATACTAAAACGTTAAAACTATATTAACACTTGTTCATTTACTAGACGTACTGCACTGGGATAAAAACTGTTGAGAGTGCGATTGGAATTAGCCCGGATTGTTCTCTAACGTTTGCCTGTTCTCATCAGCTCAAATAAATAACTAGCAGGATGGAATTCGTCATAAATGATTGACATTTTTATTTTTATTTTTTAACCGCCATCGGGGTGAGTTAATTTTTGTAACACTTATTTATTCTGGACAATTTGGATGTTTATTTTGTTACTTTACAACGTGTTGGACGGCTGGGTATTATTTTGCTTTAAATTTCCCCTTTAAATGCGAGAAGGGTGGACGTAAGCGTGAACCTAACGGCTTGACACATGCCATCGACGTAAGACTGTCAACATTGGTAATATTTCAGCACGAAGGACGTACGATATAATCAATCCTAACTGAAGCGTTTTTGACTAGAGCTTGCTATTCAGCTTGCTAATATTCGATTATAAGATGCGATATGCGACTAATTTGTAACAAGCAACTGCTGAATCTCGTCAGCGGATTATATTACCGTATTCAGATGGAAAGCGGTGAAGTGTTCAACTGATTGCAGTAGTAAATGCAGTACTTGAGCCTCAAGCCAAGGACAAAACATCCCTTTTACTCAGCTCAAGTGCATTAATGTTTTCAAACTTAAGAGAACAATACAACTCAAAGGCTGCAGATAGTTACATTGGAAGCATGTGAAGCACTACAAACAAGAAAAGGGATGTACTCTGTTTATTCAATTACGGTAACGGTGAACCGAAGCAGTCGTTGGAATTAAGGTATTAAGATTTGAAAAAGGATGAAAATGATGTACTTTCTAACTTCCATGTAAAAGATCGCACCACATTGTGTTGTGTCATTAAAGTAAGATGGGCGCTGACAAAACGCCGCCATTAACAACGTCGGAACGCTCGATAAAAGCTTGGAAATGCAAACAAGGCTGGTGTGACAGTAAGGCTGCAGACTGAAGTGTTTTGAAGCAGTTCCTTGCTCTAATTTTGGAGTTATCTAAGATTGTGATGGATGACCTCCGCCTCCATCAGCTTATAAGAAAAGCCTCGTCTCAGTCCGTGAAAGTGACTCAATCTTCACGTGTGTTTGTTAGATGTATATCACGTTTGCAGTAAAACGCAACTCATGCAGTTACGAAAGAAAAGACAATACATGTTGGTCGTTGTGGTTATGTTTTATTGAGATGCTACATGCGTCCTCTTCAACTAATAACCTCCGCCAAGGAGGTTACATTTTCATCGCATTTTGTTGGTTGGTTGGTTTGTTGGTTGGTTGGTTCGTTTTGTCTGTTAACAAAATAACTCGAAATGAGTTATGGACGGATTCGCATGAACTTTTTTTAAGGAGTGGTGCTTGGTCCAAGTACAAATCGATTAGGATTTTTAAAAAGGAATCTTCACCATTTATACGAGTATTTCTTTTGGGCGTACCGACAATTTGGCGGGGAATTGTTTAGCCTTGGTGGAGGTTTGCGCTCTCTGAGTGCTTTCTTGTTGGATATTCTTCTCCAGTGGAACTTTCATCTTGAATGTTTTATTTGAACGTTTTAAGCTGAGCAACCGAAACCCTCTGAGGAGGATTTTTATTTTAGATGGCGTCATTTGTGCACAAAGCGATCCGCTTTTCAAGTAGACTGGTTCCCGATCCCTATCATAGTATTGATCTAAAAGGAAGGCGGGAACCAGTCACCCTGCGGGAAATGAATTGTTGGAAGAGATTCAGGATTTGTAAAGTTACTATTCCACAATTCACCTAGTAGTACCTGGGTATATTTTCGTTCGATGTCTCATACAGAAATGAACAATATTTAAGCCTACATTTCTAGAAAAAAAGGAACAATTTGAAATAAAAATCTATTATTCTGACTGAAACTCAATACAACACATATAGTACTTTTCAAAATTGGTTTCTCTAAACTAAGGATATAATTAGTACGGAAACGGGAAATACAATTTCAAATTATTTCACTGAACTAGGTGGTTTATTATTTTAAAAAGATCTTACATTATTTCTGTACCATTGTTAAGTTAAACAAGTCGCTGCAGGTGGAATAAGTGTCAGCAATACAGTTGGTGTCAAGGGCGGATCCAGGGGAGGGGGCCAGAGGGGACCATCCCCCCCCCCCAAAAAAAAAAAACGAACCAATTTTTTTTTTTTATGTGACATCGCAATAAAGGCAGGCAATGAGAACACCACCATCTTTTCCTCAAAAAAACATTGGTTAAAGTGGTCAGAAATTGCCTCAGATCGCACCACAGAGCATCTAGAATCCAAACAATTTTCGGGGCCCTTAAGCGGGCCCCGAACCCCACGCCGTAATTTTGTTGACCCACCTTTTTTGACCAAAACTTTTTTTTTGCCCCCCAAAAAATTGTGTTCTGGATCCGCCCTTGGTTTGTGTAGGTATATAGGCTACATCAGCTGAATTTCATGTTGACTGTTTAGGAAAAATGGTAGAAATTACATGAAAGAAATAATACTTCATTTCAATTGATGTACGCTATTTAATTATTTGATATAAATTGCAAAATCGTGCTTTACAGCTATATTGAACACTCTTAGCCATATCGCTCTCCTACTGTCGCCTTCCCCTTTCCGCAGCATGTTAAAACGCTGTTTATTGGAAGAAAAAAATGAAAAATCCTTTCAAAAGGTCTTTTCTTCAGTTTAGGGGTGTCTAGTGAAAATGATAGGGAAAAAGGAATAAAACATGACCTTGAGTTTACTTTATAGATTGAATTTGGCCTAGTTTTGCTGATAAACAGATTACTAGGCAAATTGTATAGATGCATGCATCGTCTCAGCATGCAATTGGGCAATGGGGCCATGAAATACTGCCATGCCACATAATCGACGCTAAAAAAACATCGGGTACAATGTGCAAAAATTCCCAAAGGAAATCAAAATCAGCGCAGTGAAAAAGAACCCATATAAGTTGGCCCTAATTGAATTAAGAGAAACGAGTAAGTGGTTTCTTAGTCACCACCCGTGGGAGTGACCTACTTTCATGGTGTAGGCTAATGCATCACATGCCCATTAGAATGTTTGCTTGCTGGTATAATGGCTTTTTCGTCATTATTTCATGAGTGCATTATTGAATAGAAATTACAAAGAGATTTTGATGCTGAAGGATTTAATAAGATTGACTAAGGCTCTATAGGATTATACAACGTTTTGTTCTCAATCAATTATAGGATTCATTATAATGATAACATTTGGTCGAGGACGAATAATTTTCTTTTAACCTTAACAGGGCCGGGTTATTTTGACCATCTCTCAGCCGGGGGGGGGGGGGACGGATTCCACCCTCTAAGATCTCGGCAATCGAGTGACGGAAAATTATGAAACTTGGTACATGCATAGGGCAACTCCTCATAAACATACCTAAGAAATTTCACGACTGTAGGTCAAAGGGTTTTGGAAATATGGCTAATTAATTATTCATATGTACGAATAGTAATTCTGCTCTACAGGGTGTCCCCAAAAAATGCTCCACTCTCCTTTTGTTTTACAAATTCAAGCATGAATGCATAAATTTTCTTATTAATATATATGCATGGTAAGAATGCTATGTGTATTGGTTGTTATCTACCCAAAAAATTGGATCATACTATCAATCCACTAGGGACAGAAATGCTTAAATATGAACTCGCCTCCATTTGCCAAATGCGCTGGGGACTCAAATCACCAATTTTAAAATATCGATTTTTGTCAAGTGTGCTTTTCAAAAATTCTACTTGGTACTATTATGCAAGACCAGTCATCAGTCGTTATCAAGCATACAAGAGAAAACCAACCAACCATGCATTGTCCATTTATTGGACTTTGACTAAAGATACCTATTTGTAAATCAACCACACGTAACAATTGTTCACCTATGGCTGATTGTTCACAATTGTTACGTGTGGTTGAAAAGTCATAACAGCTCGGGTCGCGAATTATTTTTTTTTTCAAGGCTATCGCCCCCGGCCCTTTTAGGGTTAAGCTTTTTTTTTTTTTTTACTTGCAAGAAATCAATTCACTAAATTAAATTCACTTCATTAAATGTAGCTAAAGTTGTTTACCAAGCTCATGCCTTTAACCTACAATCTTTGGTGCATTTGTATCCTCGATGGAAACATTCAGTTCAGATATTGGTAGGAAAAGCTCAATATTACGTTTTTAGTCCCACAAAATTTACATCAAAATGATACATTTGAGTATAATAACAAAAAAATAAAACATTACCAAAAGATGATTGATTTCAACTCAAGATAGCGCCAATGCCGATTGCACAGGCCACTGGCGTATTGCCGAGGGAGGTATGATCCTAAATTCAATTCATTATGAGATTAAACACACCTGCGTTTTGCTCAGTTATTGAAGTCCAAAATGTATAGACTCACACAGTTTGCTGAATGAAAGCAAATGATGTGAACGACCAGGTCGTTATTTCTTATCAAGCCATCAGTATGCTCTGTACACAATCAGCATACAGATCATGTGCTTCATTTGACACGACTCGTGTCTTCAATGTATGTGCGAAGCAGCTCATCTAAATCCAGTCGATTGAATGATGGAGCGGTGGGAGGGATATGGTATGAAGTGTCCCTCATTAAATTCCACTTCAGGTGGGATATAATCGAGTGGATGAATGTAGAAATTGATTGCTTGGGGTTACATTTCCAAGACAACTTTTGTAGGACTTCAAAACCAATATCCGGCTCAAAACGAGTCTTTTTTTCTCCGATTATCAACTAACGACGGGTCTAAAATGTAGTTCTTGTTGCATCTGTCAACACTTATTTCCGGACACTTCAAATAATCTTTGTGCAAGAACATGGGCCGGAAAGGTATCGACACCCATGCATATTTGATAAGAAACTCACTCGGGCCTATACATTAACACGTACTACAAAATAAATGGTTTACTCATGATGCCTTTCCATGCCTACAAGTATTTCATCAGTGGAGATGTTGGTCTTTTCAACTGGGTGAACCCCCGAAAAATGCAACCCTATATAAGACATTTACCTTTTTCAAAAACGTGATCTGTGAATGTTTATGTTTTGGATATCAGATTAAAATGGAGAGCCTTTTCTTTCAAATACTGGAACAATCATGAAAACTGCACATTGGGTTGCTGAGTAAATGCCAATTATGTAACACAACTCCATTTTGGTCCTCTCCAATTACATTACCACCGTTAATGGATTAACACTGTAGGCCTACCTATTTGTGCATGAAAAACATATGCAGCATTGTGTCCTAATCCTTACAAACAACACGGCCCATAATATGACAAGAGTACAAATTAATTCGATGGAAATACCTGTTTTTTTCCACCTGAACATATGTCTTATCCTTTTTCGTTCTATTTCAAACCTTTTCAGCTTCATAAACATGTCAAAATATTAAAGAAATTGCACAAATAAAAGCCAATTGCACAGTGGGCTTACAGTAACGTATTTTGCTGTCTGAAACACTTTTAAACAGGATGAAAAAATCACTTCTTTTACATGATTGGCATTTTCTCAGCAACCCAATGTGATGTTCTCATGATTTATTTTCAGTATTTGAAAGAAAACGCTCTCAGCTTTAATCTGATATCCAAAATATAAAAATTCGCACATCTCGTTTTTGGAAAAAAAGGGGAAATGTTTCAGTGTTGCATTATTAGGGTTCACCCTGTAATGCTCGTCAATATAATGGAATATCCGTTTTAAATGCATCTGGGAATTCAACTTACTTTTTAGAAGCATTTGCATTCAATTAGGACTCATGGTATATGGTTTTAGTTAACAAATAACGAAGACACTAGCAATCATGTTCTTCTACGAAGAAAATGAAATGCCAGATGTGACGCGATTCTCGATTGGATTCTGAAGGTCAACATTAAAATCCTCTGTCTCTGGACACTTGGATAAGATTTTTTTCTACAAGATTTTCAATTACCCAATTTGCCACTGTGTAATTTTCAATTTTTTTTTATAGCAATCACGCTTTGCTAATAAGCAACCTCTTACCGTATGCCTATCTAAACAGCAATTTAGCAGTTCGTGACAAACTGGACGGAGTTTTCATTGCAGACCATATTTTATTTCGACACTAAATTTATTTTTGGTTTTTTATGTGTATGTCCAATGAACTTGGCTGCTTCAAAAATAATTTACGTTGTGTGTTTACATACAAATGCGTTGCTCTGCAGTGCTTTCATCATAATTAATTCGAAAGCGTTGATATTTATGCACATTCTGTCCGGATTTGATTTATTCGAGAGTAAATATATTAAGTTACCTTTGTTTTCTATTGATCTTCCTCATAATGCTCGGCGTCACATGTCTCCCAGACTCCGCGGCGTACCAAGTTTTCCCCTTTTTAAATTTATGCTCTCACAAATGAAATGTGTTTCCAAGGTAACTAATTATACGCATCCAGCGGGACATTTATTAATTTAGCGATACTCCGGGACCCATCCATTCACATGCAAATACACTGTATGCATTTTCGTTTGTAATTTCAGAATAGATATCTTTCATTGGTTCGTCTGATTCCTGCTGGCCCTGGGGAAGAACAGTATTGGTTTAACTTGGTATAGCAAGCAACATCACAGAGGACCCCTGCTATAACATAATTAGGAAGGGTAATTTTGTTTGATATCGATACTCTCATATGTAGCATTCAAGACGTAGCAAGATAAAAAAAAAGCGCCTGCTACGAAAGTTTGACGCTTAATGTGGTGAAAATAACTACCAAAATAGCTTGCAATATTGTTCAACCAACAGCCTGACACAAGATGTTATGATATGATAATTCGTAAGAAACTGTCACTAGTTTAGTAATGTTGCATTTTCCCCGAATATCTAATTGGAAACGGAGGTCACCGGTACCATGTCTCTATATGTATCTGTCTCGTCACTTTAGCAGCTTTAACTTCCTGAAGGAAAAAACGACTTTATTATTTTCTAATTTTGAAATTCACATCATCGATTTGATTTTTTTTTACAAATCAGATTTTTTTTATACTTTATATATTATGAATTCTTTGGATTATTTTCTCATACAACAAACGTAAATAGGATTGATATTTGAGGAAACAAATTAAATTTGCGGGACCATTTCCTGGTAAGAAAGGATATCGGATGGAGTTAAGGTCAGTTGAGTTAAATCTAATCGCAATTGCTTCAAATATCTTTAACAACAACCAAATTACGCTTTGAACTAGTTGTAAATTTTGATGGGTATCAGTTGAAACTTGCCTTTTTATCTCACTTTAAGTATTTTCTGTACTTGTAAATAACAAATGTTTCAGTTGTCTATAATAAAACTGCAATGTGTCAAAGCTGTAAAAAAACGTATTGACGCCTTTTAACTTCACACCGAAATATGGTATTTTTCAACAATACATTTTTTACACCATGTTAAGACTGACACAACGTGAAATGAATAATTCAAGAAAGAGGTATTTCTCTCTAAGCTTAAATTTAGCAAAAAATAAAAAAAGAGGAATGGATATGAGTGATATATGAAGTACTCATCCATTCCAACAACATATGAATACGTTTCATTTCTGTGACGTTCTTTTTTCTTACCTCTACGAGGTTCCATCGACCGGCAACCTCCCCGACACTCTCCGTTACTGATGATAATACCGATCCCATCAACGCCACTTTGACAGGGGGAGTGTAGATATGATCGTATAGCTTGTTAAGTGCAGTCACCTTGTTTCCCTGGGGGAGTAAGAACAAGTAATCCAATAGCTTACAGGCAAGAGAAATCACAGCGTGATGGGGCTCAGGAAGTCCTCTTTATTTCTGATAAATTCAAGCGACTGCATTCGCCAGCATCGTTAGCCCTGTGGGCATATCGCAACGACAACTTAATTGCGCGGAAATTCAAAAGGTTAGTGGGGAAACTAAGATTCTAAGCAGCACAAAACGGATCGGAAAGTAGTACGAATTAAAATGTATGGCTCGTTAACGCTAGCCTTCTTTGATCCATGGAGTTGACTTTGTCCCAGTCAAAAAGTCATACCTCGGTAAGGTACACTACATGTTTTTTTTTCGTTTATGCTCGGAGAGTTCGATGATAATGGCTGATTTGTATTTGGACTTTCAAAGAACACATGAAACGAAATTCGATCGACGTATTTAGGCTGATTGGAGTGAAGGGAGAATCCGGAAGAAACTGCTTTAATGCAGTTGTGCACGCTGGTTTTAATTGTTTCAATTGAGTGTTTAGCTTGCTTGAGCTTGACAGGGGTTGCCTGTCATTTATGATTAAAAAATCCCCCCGAAAAAAATGATTAATAAATAAATAAATAAATCAATAAAAATCAAAATCAATAAATATTTAAAACGAAATCTGAACCCCCAGGCAACAAACAAACCTGGCCCGATCTTATTCTTATCGACAAAAAAAAGTACAAAGGCTATTACCACAAAAGAAAGCAAGTTTGCAGGCACAATTTCGAAGGTTTAAAGGGAATGTACAACATGTGCTTTTGCTGCAATTTTCAGAAATACATGGATTTGGATGATAAGTATGTTATAGCAAATATTGTTAAACTGTTGTTTCACGTTTTGGGTTCGTAGATGCTGGAAAAACCAAGAAAACCAATCATATTCTTGTAGTCTGGTTCCCTGACGCCACTTAAGATGAACCGGAGAAATTTATAGACATTGGGATCATGAGAATCAGTCTAGCAGGCTTGTAGTCTTCACAGGTGTGTAATCAATTGCAAAGAAACCGCAGACGAACTAAATATGAAAAAATTAGGAACACTATTTGAAAAAAGCCAGTTTTCTCCAACGCTGGTCGGCTGACCATCGTTGGAAAAATACACTTTTTCTTGAAAATATCAGCACACCAGGAGCCGCAACTTTAAAGGATGCTTTAGGATGTCATTCCCTAACAATCCAGTGAGATCTTTCGTGATAATTTGATCATTTCGTTTTTTGATGTTTGCAAATGTTGTATCTTCCCTTTAATAGTGATTTCGTTGTTATTTTTCTTGGATAAATTCCATTACTACAGCATATTTTACATGCGTTATAACCTCCAGTTTTTGATGATTTTACGCTGATGTGTTTTCAGTCAAGACAAATTATGTCACAAACCGTCTCCTCCCAGACGGTCTGTGCCAAGAAATGGACAATATGGAAATTAAGTTCCACGCGCAGTGACTGTGCCTTCATTGTATAGCTCAGGAACAGAGAACGCGAGAAGCAGTTGTCAAAACATAAAAAATGAAAACCTTTCCATACACAAAGAAGTTCACGTGTAACAAGGTTACCTCACAAACGTATGTTCTTCCGCTCTTACGATCAATTCGAAGTTGCCTTTTGTTATTCTTAATAGAATTTTCTTCAACCGCAAGAAATATATATCATCTGGTCCCACCAATCCAACACAATCGAAATATTAAAAGTAACATCTTTTGCAAGTCTTACAGATGTCTATCCCCCACAAAAAAAGGCTCAGCTTAAGAACGTGAGACAGCAGGTGTTTGTGCAGTCTATACTGAGCGGTGATTAAATTTGTTTCTGCAATGCCAGCGGCATTACGTCGCCCTTAACTTCCCTCGCTCAAGCTAGTCATAATGGAATGACCATGTTGGAAGATGAATTCGGAATGGACATCTCACAACTTAACAGTGAGATGTCCAAATGCATTTGATAATTGCATTTGGTAAGCCAAGCTGAGGACTATTTGCTAACGGAAGTCCACTACAATTGTACTGGTTGGGAAAGTACACTACAATTATACTGGTTGGGATTTTGATATATTTTAAATTACTGAAGACCAATAGGCAATGCTCGAAAGTCGATTGAGAAGCGTCTCGCATTGGAATTTCACTCCTCAATAGTGTATGCAAAACGGAAGGGAATTCGTGGTATTGTGATTTGTACAAACTCTTACAATACCATTGATTTGAAGCTTAGAACTTTATTGAAAACCCCTGCTTAAAATGATAAATCGTAGACATACACAAAATAATGATAATTGTTTGTATCAGAAGTGATGTTGCGGAACCATTAAAGATTGGGTAACTACGCGTGTTCTTTTATAGCATTATTTTATGTACCATATTCGACGCTTCGGGAGAAAATCAAAATGTTCAAAGTTGATCCCCTGTCCGGTAGTTTTATTGAAAACTGTACACTAAAATACCATTTCAACAATTATTTGGGGCCTTTTCTTGGCTCATTTTTCTTTTTCCTCTCCTTTTGAGAACATCAGGAGCAATGCGATTGCGACGGGGTTGTTCTTGGCCAAGACACTTTGTCACTAATTGCTATTAAGGGGAGTTGAGATAAGCAAGAGCATATATTGGTTTGGCCTGATTACCAAGTCTAAGTACATGGCAGTGACTTATCTCACTGTGTGCATGTACGCGTCATAAAAATGCGTATTGCCATTTACTTTACACAATCATAATGGTAAGCAAATTCTGGTCGTTCCAACACGGCAGCTATCTCTCAACAAAGTCTTCCTCATTATACTTTTGAAACTTGCTCCAACTTCCCCACGGAAGATGCACCGCGAGACCAAAACTTGTATTTAAATTGTTGTGTTCAGTCAATAAGTCATTTTACACTGCGTTCTACAAAGATATGACGCGTAAATGCGTACATATTTATGTAAAGCGTTAATATCCACGACAAAACAATTTCAGACTCACCCTGCCTACAGCAGTAAACAGTGAACTGGGCTTTGGGCCTCATCATCCCAAACCGTTCAAAATCTCTCCCAACACTCTCGCAAGACACTGAATTTAAAATTCAAAGATTTACAAAATCTGGTTTATTGGTTTAACGTTTGATTCGCCGTGCATTATCTCTGCATTCCCCAGCTGAGCTTTTGAACCTTAATGGACCATTCAGACTAAATCTGGAGAATGAGGTCTGCTACAATAGTGTTTGTCCTTCAATCATAATTTTCAGACGAACACCTTTCAAGCATTCATTTACTCCATTTTAATTTCAGGGCTTTTTTAAGGCATACAGTCGTGGCGCTTTCTCTTTTCAAGGACATTGTTATCAACTTCAGTCATTTTTTAGCAGCCTCGAGTCAAATGCTACAAAATGTATCCCTTTTCCCAAAAGAGATTTGAACGGTATTTCTGAAGAAATGATTTAGGTTTTTTAAATTTTATTTATTGTTCGTCATATTCGTCCGTTTATATTTTGTTTAGTTGGATAATCAGTCAACAAATATCTGAAAAATTGTTTAAAATGTCTTGCTGAAATCAGTCTTGATGTGATTTTGGTGAAACAAGTAAGACAAAGAACAAAAAATATGTTTCAAACAAAACTGCGAAAGCAGGTAACAAAGCTACGATGTATAAATATTTGAGTATACGAGTTAATCAACTTAGCAAACAAGCAACAAACCAATCATGTACTGACTGCCTTGGTGATTGAAAAATTCATGGACCGATTTATCAAACAAACACGCGATGAAAGACCAACCACTCTACAATCCTGGCCAAATCTCGCTGGGCCCCCAACCCCCCAGCCCCCGCTCAATGTTGTCTCTCATTGCGCGGTGTGTGCTCCATCCGCTGGAGAGAACAACATTGACCGGGGGAGCGGGGGAGTTGGTGACCGTTGGAGGCTAAGGTTATTTCCAAGTGTCCCAACCATTTTGGCCGGGATTGTAGCTACAACCGATTGTTCCTACGACTCTCTATCCATTCGACCTTGTAACAAACAATCACCAAAATTCACCGTGTAACCAAGCAACGTATACATTAGCAACAAAAGGAAATCCGAGGTCTCTCTATGTCGACAATCCCCATTGTAGCAAATATTTCAGCAAAATGTCGTATATTAAGTCTGCTCCATCAGTGGATGTGTTTAAGAAGATCCTCAAAACATACCTCTTTCCCAATTGATGTATTATTGTTGTTTTGTTTGTATAATGTTTAATGATTTGTTGTTATATTGCTCATTACTACTGTAATCGCTGTGATATAGTTATACTATGAATAGCGTACCTAAATGCATAATAATAATAATAATAATAATAATAATTTCCAAATTCCTCTTTTTGGCAAACAATGCTTTACCTGAAACATTGAAAGAAAGCGCTTACAGCAATTTGATACAATTCTAATACCTAACATATTTTGCCCCACTATCGAACAAAGCGCTACTCTACTGGAAATGTATTATCTTACTTCTTCCACACAACGTTAGCACATTTCCAAATCCCGCCTTTTTAACTTGATTCAAGATTCTCTTGTTAAACAAAATATGGATGCCAGCATCTAATTCTAGATGCTCTGGACCTTTTTTCAGTCATGATTATGACCTACCTCTGTGTCACTATAGATCATGACAACTTCGTAGTTGGGTAGAACATCAGATGAATTGTTGATATCCACGATGGCCCTCTCTGAGGCCTTCAGGCTGGCAAAGCCGAAGAACCGACTCCAGCCGTCCTCCTCCGAGAGAGGGAAGAGTCCTGCGATGTACAGGGGCCTGGTCCTGTTAGCCCCGGTAAGGACCACCAAACTCGTAAGAAGATTCAAGAACAGATACATCATGAAGTGCCGCCTTGACTTGACGACAAGCCTTGTATCAATGCAATGACAACTCGCACATTTAAAACCTTCAACAGATAAGCGCTCTCGCGTGATGGGACAAAACAGATATATACGCTGTTCAGAGCAGCGATCTAACTACAACGGACAGTGACGTTGCATCGAAGTCCACCAATGTACGCTGACTTATTATGAGCTGCCATTAACATAAACATATCGGAAATGTTGCTTATTGGCAAGTTGCGTCAAGACTCTAATCCATCACTGGGAGTAAACAGACTGCATATTCGGCACGCACGGACGCAATGTATTTGCGAAAAGCGTCCAGCTCGAAAGTTATAAATTGGCCGTTGCCACAATCTCACATTGTTCGTGTAAGAGGTGATTAACCATAATGCTTCACACTTCAAACAGCAGAGCAAGACGTGACAAGCATACTGAAGCTTGTTTGAGAGCGCACAAGATTGTATTGCATTGATTCAATCAACATGACTGTTCACGTGATGTCTTTTTATGCATGTGGTCTACTCAATGGCAGGACTTAGCCCATTCAATGACTTAACCGAGTTATCCTATACGATACCACTGCCCGGGTCACAATTGACAGTCAGTGAGTCGGTCAATCAGTGCAATATGTACAAAGAGGACACAAGGCTGGCTGTCTGGGACAAGCAACAAATGCCAATTCTTCAATTTTCATAAATTTATTCAATTTATTTCAACATCTCCTTGTATTTTTCGCATCAGTCAAGAAACACACTAAAAGACGTCATGTGCGCATACCCTGCTAGGATGCTAATATTCAATACTGCACTCTTCTCCCAGGTTGTGATCCGTCAAGGACTTGTGGGAGATGCTCTCTGTATGCTATTCTGAATTCTTGGAGCCCGAAGGAACAGATTGATGACCAAGTCTTCCTTCTTCCTTTTTCGAAACGAATGCTAATAGATATTCTAAATTCTCCAAACTTGAGGCAAAAACCTCCTGAACTTTGCAGCTTCAAAGAAAGGAAAATACCGACACTTTACTTGAACCATGACAAATAATAAGAAGGGAAAGGTGCATTTCTCAATTGTACCTTCACTACTCAAACAGTGCTGGCTTACAAGAATTAGAATTATTTATGTGAAGAAGGTGTTTTGCCTATACCGTAACGACTGGGAATGTAATATTACAAAACCTGACCTTCAGTTGCAGTTTAATCCTACTACTCTTATTGATCAACGCTTGTTATTTCAGCCGACCACACCATACTCTAGCATATTATCGGGTCAAGATGCAGATGTTACTGCATATGGCATCGGTCACTCAAAGCATATCGAATGAACGTGTTTTCCCAGCAAATTTAACACATATATCACATAACTTCCTGGAAACGTTTCTTTGCTTTCGTTCCACAGCATCGTTAGGCGTATGACTAATTTTAATTCAAAACTTGCATCTTGGATCGGAGCAGTGCAGTTTACAAGTGTTAAATTATATTTCGTCCACTTCTCAAGGTATACGTTTCACATGAAAATTGGCGTACTAAATCAGCAAACTCATGTTATTTTTCGTTAGTAATGAAGAAGTTGAAATGTACGTAGGAACATCGGTAATTCCCATTTTACGATAAAATCCTTGCTGAAAGTGAAGATAGGACTGGTACCAACTACACTGTGAAATAATTCACCTGAAATAATTTCTTTCGGAACATAACATTCATTGAATATGATTGAAGAAAATGTACGTACAGGCACCTTTTGTCCTATATGCTTAGTACTTTGTCTCCAATAAAGGACTATGGAGACGAAAACAATACATATTCATATTTCTTTGGATATCTTCGCTTTTGGATTGTTTTGGATTTTTTACTGAGGAATATCAATTTCATTGTTCTTCACTGTCTTGTTCCTCTAAGATGTAGTTTCTATTTCATGTTTTCCAAGCGACCGGCTCCATAAGAATTAAGCCGTAGGGCTCTATTATGTTAGAAACATGTCTCCAATAAAGAACTATGAGATGAAAACAACGTGAAATTATATTCTTGGAATTATTTGCCTCTGCATTGTATTGGAATTTTACCTCACGCCAAATGACAACTCGATGTCATTATTCTTTGCTGCTTTGACTCCAAATATAGGCTCCACCGTATTATAATTTTTGGTCAAAAAAAATACATTTGAGAAATTAAGGAACGTTTTCCTACGGACAGGCCGTTAGATGCACTGAATAATGGACACATAATAATTCATATAAACAAGGTCCTTATTTTAAAGCAGACAAATTAATTTTAAATGACTAACAAAGCAAGAACCATAAGCCAGGAGTGATATGTTTAACACTACTATCTACTCAACAGAATCAAATATTTCATGTATAAAATACATTTTAACATGAAATGAAACTGATTGTTCTATGATTTATGTTTCTGTCGTTTAGTGAATGGTGGATTGTCAAAAGCGTATTTTTACTAAGCGAGCTGCAATGGGGCATGGTTTAGATTTGTCTATATTTGTTTTACTTGGAGACGACGTTATTTTGACTAAAATGATTTACAGTGAGCAATGAGGTGCGCCATAGACTGAAATCAAATTTGAGAAACAAGCCCGCCAGCACGTACTTTACCGATCAATTCTAACATTCTATTGATCGACCAAACTAACAGTCCATCATTTGTTTCATATTTGATCTATCCCGATGATTGAAATGGCCCGTTCTATTGCTAGGGATAAAATGTCATGAAAATCATGAGGTATTGCGTCCTTGGCATTAAAAGCCGCTATCCTATACTTGCTTGAATTTCTTAACTGCGAAAGAGAGCTTGCGCATTTGGGAACGCGGGAGGACAGAAATCTAAAGTGATGGGCGGTTTAAGGCACAAAATGCTACTTCGCGTGACTAATGCATGCTCCAGGACGGGCAATTGGAATCACGAAATAAAGTACCCTGTCAATAATGGACAACTCAATTATGTAAATAATGATGCTAATATTATTGCTCGGTAGATAATATAACAAGGTATATTTCAAATATCGTTTGCAATTAGTTGGGAAGAAGGACACTGAGGAACCGATTAGTTCGCGGACTTTGTACACAGGTTGAAAGAGAGGGGCTGGATATAAGGTCAATCAAAACTGTATGGATCTATAGGTAGGCCTAAATATTTGCCTCGAAGCACAAATATGATTAGCAATGTCTTATGTCATATTTGTTTTATTCACATTATCAATTGTCACCCAAAGGTCAAATTGTATGATAATTTACAAATACATCTTAAGATGTTGAAATACATGGTCTTTCAAATGTGTGGTTTTTGTTTTGTTTTATCTATTAAAGGATATGTTGTTAATTAACCATTTCTGTGAGGGTAGTTATTTTTAAATCTTAGTTTATCAAAGTTTTACCATTTGAATCTGTAAATGAGAAAAAAGCTTGATTGCGAAAACAACACATGTTTCTCTTAAAAAAATAACAAGTTCGCTACAAACAAATTATTGTTGTGGAATCTGCGACGGAGGTTTGATATCGGCAAATCTTGCTCAACAATATAATACACTGGCTCAACATATGATTCACTGGCTCCATATATAATTCACTAGCTCAACATATAATTCACTGGCTCAACATAGAATTCACTGGCTCCATATATAATTCACTAGCTCAACATATAATTCACTGGCTCAACATAGAATTCACTGGCTCAATATATAGTTCACTAGCTCAATATATAAATCACTACCTCAACATATAATTCACTGGCTCAACATATAATTCACTAGCTCAATATATAATTCACTGGCTCCACATTATTATAATTCACTAGCTCAACATATAATTCACTGGCTTTATTCACTGCTGAATATACGGATAAGAGAAAAGACGGCTATATCCCATTCAGAGACGTCTCTCTTAGGCCAAAAAAAGTCTCCGGTTTCTGGTATGGAGCTTGCCCAAAAAGTGGTGCGGCGACGCGGCTTTTTTTTTTTTTTTACCTGATTTTTTTGCTTCAAATGTCGGCTGATGACTGCAAATGGTGCCCGACTAAACTTAGTGCAAATATATGGGAGTCCAGAGAGGCCACATAAAGCTTATTCTCGACCACAACCCAATCTAAAAACACGTTAGAATTGTGCAGCAGCAGGATTCCAGTCAAACCAGTGAGTTTGGCGGTTTTGAGACATCATCTTTCATTGAAAAAAAAAAAAAATCATTTTGCCGACGCGCATGGCTACGGCGACGCGCGCGCATACCAGAAACCGGAGACTTTTTTTTTTTTGGCCTTATAGATTGGCTTGTGAATAAATAATGTGCGTAAGAACAACACATTAAGTTATTCAATGGTGTGACAATGTGTGGTATATTTCTTCAGTTGATACAAGTATATGGGGTCTCAAAGTGGGTAGAAATAAAGCGAGAAATCAATAGAAGTTTTGACCAGAGCCAAGTTTACCCAGGCTAGGCCGGCGCGTGAGTTGGTTAGGTTTTACCTGGGGGCAACAGCGGGAATGCATTTTCGCTCCTTTTGGGACTCATCAGCCGCTGGATTCAAAGGAATCCGTAGGTATGGGTCAGTGAGTTAAATGAAACTCACTTAGAGGGAAAATTCCGTCATGTTTATCTGATTTGTGTGACTTCGAACTTCATTTAGATGGGATTTGTTCATCAAAGAGTGAAATTAAGATGTCAAGTGTGTTTCGTTATCTTCCCTGTGGCTGAGTTTGGCTCCGACAAGTCTCTTCTTGATGTTATCAGTTACCTTATAAGCAACTAAAGGAGATTTGGGGAAAACTTCCTTCAAAGTTGGGTTGCTTGAAATAAGATGCCAGTGTTTGGAGAGTGCACGTTTGATGTCCAAGTGTGTTACATGGGTGTTGTAAGTGGTGGTAAAGACGAGGGGTAGTTCTTTGTTTGTTTTCACTTGTTCTTTAATTGTGAATCATAGATTTCGTTTTTGACAAATCAACGGATTGCTTGGACTTGTGAATATCGGCTTGATGTAGCCAGTATTCCGTAGTTTTCCTTCGAAACTTTGTACTTTGTGTAAGAAGTCATTCTCATTGTTTGTGTTTCTGGCATATCGGAGGATTTCTCCCT